GCCCATCACTCTCTGCGGCCCTTCCACTCCCACCCGTTGCTGGCACTCAGACTCCGACTGCGGGTACTGTTAGTTGAAACAACGAACTTGATACAAACAGAATCAGAGGCTACATCTCCTTACAAAAAAGAGTAATGTGTCGAAGGGATGTTGAATAGTGTGTTTATAGACATAGTTGTGTCACTTTATGGATACTAAAATGGTGTAAATAAACAAAAAATTTTAGTTACGGAGTTGTTTTCGTCTACTTTGACGTCTGTTCTAGAGCGCCTGTTTCAGTCTAATGTGTAGGGCTAAATTTCCGAAATGAGTTGTCATTCACACCGTTACCTGCTACCTAACGCTGTGCTACGTGGTGCGTCATAACTACATAGCTTTTCCACTATTAAGATGGTAAAGCTTAGAAAAAAACGTAGCTTCGATTATCACTTCTAATGAGATAAACGCTCTATTACTGGTTTCCGATGAATGAGACTGAGAAAAAATTCCTGTTTACGACGTGACAGAAATCAAAAGCCATATAACGCGCCCACTGCAGGGCGGGAAGTGGAAAAGACTGGAGCTGCTCGGTTTTCACGCGCGGTTACAAAGGAAAGCTGTGGCGAACTTGTGATCGCGAGTAATGAAGTTAAATGCGTGGATAATCACTGTTACATTTGGAATCATATGGCGATCTAAATCAGAAATCGAAGAAGAGACTTTCAAGATGACCAAGCTTTAGCAGTAGTATACATACGACGACAATCTGCGACAAGGCACAAGGTAGACGAGTGAACGAAAATTGAATCTTTATCAATAATTATTTAAGTCGTATGCTTCCATTTTCTTACTAGTCCGGATCTACTCGTTCTTTAGATTTACACAGATAACGTCGTTAACTGTCACAGTAAGGTACTAGAGAAATACCTTTAGTCATCTAGTTCGAATCGCATTACTTTGCCGGAGTTCTAACTGACTCCTTGAGCTGTTTCCTTGAACGAGACACTAAAGAGTTTAATTTAAAACTACAAAAAATGTAAAAACGATTATCTAACTTACAAAAATGGAGTATTGTGAAGAGCTGAATAATAATAATAATAATAATAATAATAATAATAAACAACATTTACAATTCTCCATTTCTAAACCTTTACGCCACACCAGTGTTTTTGGATGTCAGGTACAACTATTTTACTACTGATGTGGTAGTTAAGTTTAAATTACGATTATCAATTGTTTTCTTTTCCGATGTTGAATAATACATGGAAAATGTACTTAGCACATGAAAAAAGTTTACTTTTACGCATTTTCTCAAATCAATCTGAAAATGGCGAACAGACATAGTCCTTTTTCTGTCAGGAGATAGAAATCGATAAAGATCCAGTAGTGAATACATTTTGGAACACCTAGAATCCCTCGAGGAGTATACGGCTTTTGCATCAGTCACACTTGGAACTATGGTTGCCAAATATTCCGGTGATTTCACCACCTGGCGCCTGGTTGGCCCAAAGAGACCTTGCGTTCAACAACGGCGACAGCAACGGCAACGGCAGCGGTAACGTGAGAAGTCTGGGTCAAGGTGAGCTATGCCGTTGGCGTCCCCGCCAAAATTGTGATTAAGATTTTTGTGAAGGAGAGAGCGGACTTTTCTTGAATGGTGACCTGCCTTCCAAGGCCTTTAAAGTAATAAGACATACGTACAATGATGGTAGATGAAATGTCTTAAAAATAGAATTGAAACCATCGGATTACTAAAACATTATTTAACATTCACAACGATATTGTCAAAAAAAGAAATCTTGGATTTCATAAAATATCATAAATAGTAAACTGTTGAATGTCAGCGCCTTCGAATTTGTTTATAAGAAATTGTGAATATAAAAAGTTGGACGTAGTCAGGAATTCAAGTGAGCCAATAAAGTCCTTGCAACTAAAGTACAACCATGATAATTTATTTGAATGACAAGGATTACACTTTAAAATTTAAAGAATTACACGTTTGGGATAAAGCGGTAGAATCTAGTACCCGTAATGGCAGAGTCGCTACGAACTACCGACCAGAAGTCTACTCATGCGCAATACACTACCGGAAGAAAAAATGTCTCCCGTTGTTTTCGCCGTTATCGAATCGTAAGGTCCCTCGTGTTGTAGAGCGCCGGACTGCCGTGCGGAAGGTCGTGGGTTTAAGCCCAAGACCGGACCAACACTTAAGGTTTTAAAATAACTGAGGAGAACGTGTTGCCTTTGCTATGACATCTGCAAATGGTAAGATATTTTAGTCTTTTCGGATAAGGACGTAAAAGGTCCTATCTCCTGCATCTTCTCTCCACTACTTAGCAGGGAACGTCAAAGAACCCACGCACTTCTGTCACAGAGCATGGAACGTAGCTCCCGTTGTTGTGATCTGGTTTTGTTTCCAAAATTTCGTAAGTTGGGGAGACCTGCAAATTAACTTTCAAAAAGTTGTTAACTGCTTAATACAGTGTGGCTTAAGTCCCCGAAAATTACTGTAAAGCGCATTCGAGCATATTCATGTGGAAAATGCGCTCTATAAATTCATCATTATCCATATAGTAACAGAGTCGAATTTGGCGCCGTATTTGGAATTTAATTAGATAGACATAACTCGGAGATATTAAAGTATTCGCGCGTGCGTCCGTCCGTCTGTTCTTTAGTGAATTCGTGTGTTCGTGAACTCGTACGGTTCGTTAACTTGTCGGTTATTTAGTTCGTTCGTCGGGTCGTCAGTTCGTGTGCTCGTCGGTTTGTCAGTTAGTTTGTTGGTTGGTTCGTCAGTTCGTTTGTTCTTCTGCTCGTCAGTCCGTTCGTCATTTTGTCATGAAATCAGTTCTTGTTCTTGTTCTTGTTCTTGTTCTTCTTATTATTATCATCATTGTTATTATTGCTATTAAAATTATTTTTATATTTATTGGCATTACTATTGTATTTTTTAATGATTGATTCCTGGTTAGCTTTGACGTAAAAGTACATGGAGCGCCTTATTCACTTATAGAGAATAGCAGTTACCCTCCCCTCCCTGTTTTAGCCGTCAAAATGTTGACAGGGATTGTTACAATCATGTAGATCTGGGAGCTACCAGCGAAGTCATTGAGCCGCAAGGAAAGCTGGGTAGTTATCTGTTACCGTGATAACAAGCTGCTGTAGTGCTGTCTGTGCGTTTCCATCTATCTCTTATAGGAATATCATTTGGAAAATCTGGATGTTGAGGTAAAGTTAGCCTATACAAAGCTAGAATACCAGATTAAGGCGATAAAAAGGCTGTAGATGTTAAGTGCTTAGTAAAGTTAGAATAATTTGTTTTTTGAGTTTGTAAACCTGTTAGCCAAAATAATACTTAACTAATGTAGGTGTTGTGAAACACATTTGTCTGTTGAAGGAATCAACGCTTAGTATTACAAACCGAGAATGATATTGATCTGCCAAATCGATGACTTGCTAGTCGACTATCACCTTTTAACTACCGCAAAATTTCAAATAACAGATTTACAGAAAGCAAGTTGTTTTTCGTTTGTCACGAGCAAGGGCCACTGTAAACTTTGATATCCCCGAGAGAATTCGAACCTCAAATCTTCCGATTTTGTGTTCGAATGCTTTATCAACCGAGCAATTAACAGAGATCACTTTGGCCATTTTGGCCTTATTCAGGTTAACAGGCACACTTAAATACATGCAAGAAAGACGAGCCGTCGGCAGGGCTTGAATTCCTTGCAAATGGCTCGCTCTTTGGATTCTTTTGATAATTAGTACCGTTAATCCTTCTTGATTTAATCGGTGTTTAACTGCTTTGGTTAGCCATAGAAATTGCAGACAAAGAAGAGGTACTGCTTACGCTCACCCCGATTAAAAGCTGTACGTTTTAATTTTTTAGAACTAAAGCCACGAGATTTCTTTGCACGACATGTAGCGTGGGTTTGTCACTCTGCGTAATATGATGGAAAAAAGTATCGAAAAGATTAAGTAGTTTCTGTCAATGAAGGCTGAATTTGACGCAGTTAATGAAATATTGAAATTCGCCTTGAGTTGTATGTTTGCTGCTCAACAAAGAGTACATTCAACTCAAAAAATACAAAAAACATAAACAACGGCGATAGTAAAAAGAAATGTTAATGAAATTCACAACAGAACGATGCGCTAGGTGAAAACATGAATTAGTGTCAGATTGTAAGTTACACGCAGATTGGCTTTACCCCCACGACTGGCTACTGAAATGATAGCGAGTGTCAAACAGTTTAACAAAAGGCGGATTTACGTCACAATTTGTACGCAATTACTTTTGTGATACCGGAGGGAATAATTCTTAAATTAAACACTGGAAGAAAACTTTACATTGGTAAGGCACGTTGCAAATACGTGCACAGCCAAGAATTCTTTGAGGAGTTAACTGCAAGTATTTTCTCAAAATTCCTATGCGCGCTTCCAAAATGAATTTGCTTTGGGTTTTTCTGATTAATATTGATGACAAGCAAAATTCAGGGTAGGAAATAAAAAAAAACCGCATTGCGAAAAACTTGATAAGTGCATATTGTATTTTAAAAATCCAAAAGTGGTGATCATTTAAATTACTCCGTTGCATTATTTAAGAAATAGACTGTAGCAAATCTTCGCTTTCGTCAAATTTGCTTATATATGAAACGAAAAATTAATAAAGAATCTCCAGGCTAAATCATAGTGTAAAAGTGTAATCTTTCGCAAATGGAATTCGTCATCATGATAAAATCATGCTCCTCATCCAATTTTACGTTTGCTGAATATTTGCTCCACTGGACTAATTTTCTCCAAAACGTTATTTCTTCAGTGCTTTAACGCAATCATTTCATTTTAATAGACAAAAATTGTATGACAGACGTTGTCATTTAACAACTTCTAAGAAGTGATTAACATTTGCATTCAATGAAAATGTTATATATTTGCTGGCTTTCTAAACTAAGTGTAAGTTGTGTTACCGCAAATCAAGTTTCAAATTCAAATGCGGTTTTACGGCTGACATATTTGCTTTAAAGGGTTACTCCCTTTTTGTTTTCGTTTTGTTTTGATTTTTTTCGTCTCCGTTTGCATACTACCGCCTAAAGTATACATTAATTTGCAAATTTTTTGTTGTTTGGTACGAACGCGTTTGCAATTTGCCACGGGTTTTGCCGATGTTCCATCGTGGGTTAATTTTGACGAATTTAATTGCGTAGCTGCGAGTTTTATCGCATCGGTGTAGCGAATGACCAGATTTTCGTCAACTGAACGCAAACTGACTTTTTTTCGTAATACTTCTAAGCAACTTCTGAGTTCGATGGATTTTATGTGAAACGCAGTTGAAGAGGTGCAAGAAATTGTAATATTATTGTGGTGGAGTGCAATATATCGTTCTTTGAAATGGCGTAATAGCAACTTAATTAACAATTCATCTCGTAATTGTGGTCTTTTGTAGAAGAGTCATACCAGGTCAGCTGAAATATCACGCCGAGGTTTAGGTCTTATGTGGGTAACTCAACTCGCGAGTGAAAACGCGAATAATTATTTTAAACGTAAACCGTTGCTTAGAACCGCGCGTCAAAACGCCTTAATTGGAAGTGGTTATCGCTCTAGAATTAAAAAAATTGCCGCACGAACCCTAAGCAAGCGGGAAAAGCGAGCAAATCTTTTCCCGTGTTTTGCTGCGCGCGAGAGCAGGCAGATGGTGTAGTTGAAATCTTGGCACGCACTCACTGTGAATTTAAAATGATGCTGGTTACGAAGTCCGAGCTTTGATCCACTGGTCTAAATGGGATCCACTTGTACCAAAGCTCAGAGAACTGACCAAAACAGCAAGTACAGCCTCCAAAATCGAGCGGATGATTCCTCAGGTAAGGCCATGTTTTCAATGTGATTTCTTGTTCATTTTACAAAGCTGTCACTCCACTGGCAGGCGCCGAAGCCAGTTTATTTATAAATACATGAAAAATGTATTGTCTTTCAAACGAATGCACGCATTACAACTTCCCACCCAATTTTTAAACCCGGTTATCATTATTGTTATTATTTTTTTCAAAGATTGCTGTTGTTCTCTCGAAAGGAGCACTAAAAGATTTACGATTCTAACTCGCGTTCAATGGACTGGCGATTTGAAATCTGTCGCAAGCTCCTAAAAGTCAGCCGCTCTTTAGATGCGCTTAACATTTGCATTCAAAATATTTTATGCAACGAAAATTTCTTTTATTCATTAGTGTTGTGTTTTTCATGTCTTGGTAAAGAAGTTTGATGTTCATCTTATCACTAGCAAAACCGGGACGCGATCGAAATAGCTTAAACATAAGAGGCGTCCGTACGCATAGATCACGGGCGACACACACATGTATATTTCTTCAATCTTCAATTATTCACCTGCACTTGTCAATCTACTTATTTCTTCGGTTAAGCTTTTTGCATTATCTACCAACAAAACGCTGAACAAAAAGGTTTCGAAAGAGCTTAGGAAAAAAAGAAAAGAAAACGCGCATTCGCCACTTAACTACGCTTCCGTGAGGACATTTGTACATTTTTTTTCTTATTAAGAATTTTTATCACAAAAAAAAGTGCGCGACATCTTTTTCAAATTTTACATCTTTTGAAGAAGGAAACTGATGCATAAAGAAGACCATGCTAATTAGATCTTTGCCGGGCAAACAATCCGCTAATTACAAGAACTTTAGTGATCAGCGATTCGGCCGGTGCATGCGATTCGCTACGCGCGAAGGCAAGTTCTCCGCAAGCATGTTCCGCAATCGCGCTCTTGTAGACAAAAGGGCGCCATTACCAAAAATCTTGAACCCACATCTTGGGAAAATCATCCCGATCACATTAATGTAGCGTTTTGACTTTACAAATCGGCCACCGCGCGCAATTTGTTGTCGTTGCAAGGATTTCTTCTGAACCTTGACGGTTTAGAAGTGATTCCGGCGTACGTCGAAACGCAATGAAATCCTCGATTTCTCGAAGCCGCAAAGTTCGTATCTTGGTGAAACCAGCTGGACAGAAGAAACGCGTCAAATTCGGTAAGTTTATAAACAGATAAATGACCCGCTAGAAGATCGAGTTTAGTTCTGACAAATAATATTGCAAGTAAGTGGAAGAGTCGGTTAACCACTGTTTGTTGTTATTTCCTGAAACAAATTTTCTACAATCAGGCCGCGCATAATTCGTATTTTGGAAAATTTTCTCTGACGTACATTCACCAAAAACATTAAATAGAAATTGTTGATTTTAATGACACACAGGTGAAAGGGAAGTCGAACTGACGTTGTTTTAAACGATTCTGTTTTTGAAAAGATTCATTTGGATTTTATAGTTAATGTTTTGGCCTCCCGCCTAGCAAAGTAGTGAAATTGTCGACTTTCTTCGGTGTTATAAGGATTTTTAGATTAGCATTCAGCAAATTGTTACATACGTTATATACTTTTAGTATTTGCGCAGGTAAATGTAAATACCAGAGAACGATGCAACCATGAAGAAAGCGTGAGCCGTTTTTTTCCATTTTTGGAATATTACAATTCCTTTCCTGACGAATTGCAATACTCCGCCTGGTTCTGCCTTAAGATATCATTTGATCAGCTCAGGGGCTAAAATTAACCCACATCTTTTTGATATGAAACGTTTCAAACCAAGGTGAACAATGTCTTTCAAAAGGTTTTTTTTTTAATCATATGGAAGTGAAAATCTTGCCTCACGTTGTCATTATTTCATGAAGATCTGATATCACAGACTTCGCTCCATCTTCAAGGCGTGTTTTATAACGGATCGAAGTTTCACTACGCGATAGTAGTTTTGCTTTTTGTCGGCTGTATAAGTCAATTTGTTTTAATCTGAATTTGCATAAAGTGGCCTTAATTACTTTATACTCATGATATCTTAGACTCTGAACATGTGGTGAACTTAATAAATTTTTTTTTTTGTAGGCTCGCTTGACTGATACCCACTTCATACAACAGTTTTTTTCATTTTCCAGTACACGAAATTTCTAGCGGTCGTTGAAATTTCAAACAAATGCGTTTTAAATCTTATAGAATTATCAACATCCCAGTGAAGCCGCAAAATCTGTCTTAAAGTTGAATATTTTAAACTGGCCAATTCTTTTTAAAGGAATATATTTTATAGATAAGTTTGGGACTAGAAAACATCGATTGACTAATGCTCTTCAAATTCTCATCACATAACTGGTTAAAATCTTTTTGATCTAGTGGGGAGAGATAACATCGATCACAACACTCGATGCATGAAGAAATCTGAAATGGCGTCTTCGCAAAAGAGCTTTTAATTGCATCTGAATATGATTATTAATTACAGAAACCTGGCTCGTTGAGAAAAAAAAATGTCGAAAAGTAAAATATTAGAACATATCTTTACGATATGAAACAATATCTAAGCTTAGAGATACCGTATCCATTTTTTCCACTCTTGCGAAATATACTACATGCTATTTGAGAATTTACGTTCAACGTGTTTGGTTTTATCTATTATCTTTTCAATGCATATTCTTCATTTGATCGTTATCAAACACAGAGTTCTGCATCTCTAGTGTGGGGAAATGTAGGCGAGACCAGACCAAGTTGTAATGACAAACATGTGTTAAAAAAGAAGCGTTATGTAATTCCTGTAGTCCGGTTTCAAACCACTAAATACCGGCTGCAAGCGATTAGAGGCTTATTTTAATGCAGAAGCCTTTTTGTACAGCGTAGATACCGGTCAAGCAAGCGAAATATATGTCTCCAGGCTAGGGCTCTTCAATAGCGCCAGTTGCATTCAATGTATCTATGGCAACCTGGCGCGCTTGAAAGTGCGTGTGTTAAGTATCCATGTTTTCCTCTCTGTTAGATCACTTATTTTATAACTCCACTCATTTTAAGGAGTTTCTACTTTCAAGGAGAATGGGAAATATATTTTGCAAGGCGCATATTTTCAGCTAAGGTCAAGTTCAGCGACCTTCCTTGATTGTTTCCCGTATTTCTTCGTCATTAATGTATGTTGCTTACAATTTGTGGCGGCAGGAAAGTGCACTTAAAATGGAGATTTGCCAAGGATACGCAAACCAGATCTTAAGAGCTCTTTAAGTTACGACCATTAAAAAATGGTGCCAAAAAATGAGTTAGAATGAGATAAAATAAGATAAAACATAACACAAAAGAAAACGGAGCTTTACGTTATTCGTGTAATCCTTATCAAGTCCCACTGGTAATTCTGAGAGGGTTCTGGAAATGCTTTGTAAATAATTGTTTCTTCGGCTTTAAATATATTGCATTTGAATTTTTTTATGGTGTGCAGACCACTTTTACTCTGTTTTATGAGTACGTTGTGCGTTTTAATTTCTTATTAAAACACTGATTAGCTTTTTTTTTTTTCCTGGCTTCTCGTGTTTAGCAGATACAGTACAGCCGCATATTCACGTGACGTCAGTACCAGTGGACTGCGCATGCGAATCCAACTGCAATGACAACGAAGTGTGTAATAACTGTGATGGTTACTCGACGCACGATCCTACCAGCTATTCTTCAGAAAAAGCTTCAGTTCTCGCCGTGTCAAGGTAATAGGCACAAAGTTTAAGTCGTTGAAATTAGATAGCTTCTAATTTCTCCTTACAATATACATTACACATTTAGGTCATGAGAATAAAGGAAATGATCACCAACTAAAGATGCTCTAGATTGTTGAACAAATTCTCCTCGTCAGCACCTAAGGAAATGTATAGTATAAATAATAAGCTTATTGATGTTGGAGTGTAAAGTGTGAACACACGAGGTCAAAATATTAAAAAATATATTTTATGGAAATTTCGCAATCAAGCCAATTATCTCGTGAATGTAAAAAAAGAATCAGGGAGGGCACTGCTCTGGCTCCACCTCACTCCGTGATTGGTCTAAAAAAATTCGCACTGGCCTATCAACCAATCAGACGTGACTCGGTGGTTCAAATTTTCCCGCCTTGAAGGAAGTTGGATGTTTTTAATCTAAATTATCGTGGGCTGCCTGCGATATGAACTGTTGTGCTGCTTGGCTCTTGGTATTTCTTCGGTATTGGTTTTTACGAAATTAAAAAGATAACTTGATTTGTTTCATGTTGATTAGGGAAGCATGAGCCTGTCCCTGTCCTCTTCACAAAAAACATATTTGTTAAGTTAGATTTTCGAATAGCTGCGACGAACTGCCTCAAATGTTTTAATATATATATATATATATTTGCAAATTCAGCGTAGAATCCTCTACGGATTCCCATTTTTACGGCTGAAACAAATGTTTTTTGTTGAAGAAGTGGTATTTTTCTGCATGCATTAGTGGTATAAGAGAAGATAAAGTGTGTTTGTTTTTATTCAAGGTAGCTCAAAATGGCTATTGTATATCTTTGATAGATTGATACTAAAACACTTTTTTGTGTGTGGTCCTCAGAAATTGTTATCGCTATGGTCACTTAAGATGTTGAAAATAATAGTTTTAACATGGCCAGAAATGATTTGGCTTTTTTTTTTTCTATTTTTTTTTTCGATAAAATATTTAAGGAGGCAAACGCATAGTGTTGAGGTTACACCTGTTAAATAATTGATGTCTATAGATGACGAGTGCAATTTGAGCCACTCTTCAACTCAAATATCTCCACACCATATTGCCTCCTTGAGATAGGAAATCACATTACTGCTTATAGTAAACTAAAAGGGAACAAGGGTAGCTACAGATGGAGAAGATTGAAACAGATTTTAAACAACGAACACAACAAAGCAAGCTACACCGTGGCGTAGGTCAGACCCTCTTTCGCGCCAAAACACACAACGCACGTCACGTATTGATTCAATGTATCGCTGTTGTGTCAACAAACCTTTGTCAACAACTTCTTTTCTTGAGAAGCGAAAGCCAATCTGGCATAAATAAAGAAAGAATGAACATAGACACCAAAGGTTACGTCAAACGAATAATCGTCATAAAAAAAATTTACTTTCAAAGTAAATACATCTTCGTAACAACATTCAGAAACTATCTTCGAGGCGCTCAATTGCGTACATTTCAACCGAAGGAAAAGCCTCTTCAGGTAAAGAAATATACAGTAATCTTAACGATGAAATGTCAGAAGATCATTTATGACCTAGTCGTACACAATGTCTCTATTACAGCTCGGTACGGTAATATTTTGAATTGGCAATTCATCTTGGTCAGCCTTGTAGCGTAACTTTTATTTCAGCGTTCAATGTAGATAAACTTGACAGTATCGCGTCGATTTGGATGACTAAGAATGCTAATTTTTCAGGTCTTTTTCTAAGTGCCTGTCAACTAAACAGGTTAGGTTTCCGAGATCGCAGCCAACCGCTTTCATTCCTTTGTAAAAAATTTGAAGTGTCCATTTGTGTCGCTCGGTTGGTTCTGCTATCGGGACCGATATTTCGTTTACCAAGCTGGACAATCTCGCTTGCTAGAACCTTACTGTTGTTATTGGATGAAACTTGAAAGGCCACAGCTTGTTTACCTCGGAAACCGAGCATCACTTCTTATTGGCACAGAAACCAGGCTTAACTGATACCTCGGGGAGGCGAGATGAAATTTATGCTTTGAACAGAAGACAAGACTCGTCCTATGAGCCGGGTTAGACAGCGGGGTACCGGACTTGTTTCAAGAGGCCCTTGGTAGGCTGATTGTGGTCACTAGATCCCTTATGTTGTGTTTTGACAAAAGAAGGTGCTCCGTAAGTGGTTGCCTTGCTGCCTAGGTTGTGTTATACTCAATCTTGTGAAGCGAATACGCTAAGTGAAATTTAATGAGGTTGTCCGTGTTCTGCTGAACACGGTGTTCGATCTTGTTTTCTTGAAGATGGTGTATGTTAAAACTCAGTAGTGACTCTCTATACATGTCATTCGCGCTTCTGGAAATTTCTACTTTTTAGATTGAATTCCTTATTTCCTCTTCTGTCTTCCTAATGGGCCCTCTAGGCAACAATAGCTATGAATATTATGACTTAAAACTATCCATTTCTTAACAGCTTAGAGCTAATTTAAATCCGTCGCAAGAAAATCCACGGTGTGTGTTCTTTCTTATCCTTAACCTGCTGCATTCCGAGGGAACAATAATCGTGCGTAAAAAAAATGGCTCCTACGGTTCGGCATCCACAAAAACTGCTAGCACGTATAGTTTTTTTCTGTCGTTCATTTTCATGTCGTTCAGTCCTCAATTTCTTCTGTTGAGATTGGAAATGCTTCGTTTGCAGGATTCGGGACTCGTGCAGTAGCATCTGAAACCCATGAGTAACTCGTCTCTTCAAACGCTAACGAAATTCCTTATGGTCCTGTTTCTTATTAAGAAGCGTTTACATTAAGTGAATACACCTTTAGTCAGTGATATGTCACATTTTTAGGCAGTTAATAGTAAGCTAGGTCAAAGTAACTTCAAAAGGATGTATCGGAATTCTGCAGTACTTTCTCGAGAAAACCCAACGTTTTTTTCGATAACAAAAACGCCGCATTTGCCTTTTCCTAACCACGACATGTCATCATAGATTTGAAGAATGCAACGTGTTTATTTTTCACGCTCAATCACATAAACGAGAATATGAAAATAAAATAGATATTCAAACCAGATAGTTTGTGTTGATTGAAACATATTTACATTTATATTGAGCCAATCAATCAAACACGTTTTAACTACTAAATAACCTGAATTACAGCAAACCTCAGTTTTACCTTCAAAGGAGGATTCAAAAAAAGTCAAAGCAACAGAAGCCAAGATTTATCGGCCAGAAAATCGTTGTGTTTCAGCAATTTTCGTAAATTTTCATGTGTAAGTGATGTGCGTTGTGTCCGATATCACTATGAGGATCGAGTAATGGTCGAATGCCGAAGTTGCTAAAAATAGTTGAATGGTAAGATCTTTAGTTTCTCTTTATGTGTGATGACATTTGAACCAAGTAATGACATTTTTTGGCGCATAATATTCTTTCTTCGCTGTGGGCCAAGTTTGCAGGCTTGAATTTGCTTTTGACGCATCCAAAATGGCATTGGCCAGTTAAGTATGTGCTTTAAACTTTGAAACTAATTTTTTTTTTTATTCCGTAAATTATTACTACTTGTAGAGGAGTCGTTGTTGATAGTCAACTTAACCACCTGCCTTTCTTGCTAAAATATGGTGGTTTTCACGACTCTGGGCCGGTTATTTACACTAGGTCTAGCCCAAACTGCGACTTTACGCATGCATTGGGCCTCAGGGATACTTTTCAAGAGGGTTGACTTAATTAAATAAATGTCTTCGCATTGTTAGCCTTCGACCGCCGTGACACAGCTCCTAGAAATAAATGTTCAGATAATCGGTTCGGCTGAATTGAAGATGGCTGAGAACGCGGTTTTGTAAACAAAAGCTAAACTTTGTTTAAATAACCGGCCCTTTGAGTTAAAAAAAAGATACATTTGTGCTTCTGTCGTGCGTCTGTTCAGTAATAGATCACAAACGAAGTGAAAATGTGGTAAGGAAAAAAAAAAAGAAAAGAAAAGCATACGAGACACAGCCAAGTGTGTCTCTGATGTTCGTGCCACATATTGACATCCTCTGTGATATATCACTGAACAGAGTCGCGGCAACGTGGAATCTATTAGTAGATAGAAATAAGAGACATGGTAAGTTTTGAGCTCGGTAAAGAAATAGAGAAAGATTTTTTTTCGTCTTGTCACGAGCGTGGGACAAAGAAAAAATGCTCAGTCCCCATGTGGAATCCGAAGATCTGAGGTTCTATTCCTCGTGGGGAATCAGAATTTTTTCTTTGTCTCACGCTCGTGACAAGACGAAAAAACATCTTTCGCTATGGAATCTATTTGTTTTATATGATTAAAAACAGAATGTTATTGTGTGTGTTTGTCCTCCGATAGTTCATAGGAAAGAACCAATCAAAATACATGAATAATTTAAGTCATGATATAGAAAATAAGTATAAAATCTGACCAAAATGTCATTTATTTCTGTTGCGGATCATTTAGATTGCGTGAAATTATGGATCAGTTGGATACCGGAAAGGGTTTATCAGCTGCAGATATGAAACAGGAATTAGGAATCGCTGTCGCCATGTTGGACAAAGCATCGGTAGCAGCGACGCCATTAAGAGATTACAGGTATGAATCAAAATGTTTTGTCCTTCGTTGTGACAACAAGAACAAGACAATATTTATGCTTGCTTACGAAATAAGATTTTTAAGAGGGTCAGGAGAGAGATAAGCCGCCTTTCTCCCCCGCCTTCTCGACCCCAGACTTCCAGGAGTATTTTCGAAACCATCGTCACTCTCCATTACGTAATTGATGAAGAGAAGCGCACAGGAGAGGAGAGGGTTTGTTGTGCTTAAGAGAGTTTTTGCTGGCTTTTGTAGGTTTTGAACAACACAACTTTAAACCTTTCTTGCACGAAAAGAGTCCTTTCTATTGTTATGGAGAATATGTGTCAATTGCCATTATTTTAGAACTGAGGAGTGTGGCTCTTTACTTTCAGCGATAGAAGAGTTTAGAAATGCTATGCATTGACAAGCACATCATTATTGGGATGACGGAGTCACGGGGGAACTATCGCTTAGCTCTCTCCTCCTGAATTAACTCTTGTGTAACTACTTTTCAGGGGGTCCACGAGTGCTTTGAGCGAGCTTGACGAAGAACTAGAGAGTAGCCTCTATTCTGATGACGTCAATGAGGAGGTGCGGGAGTGGATCGCTACGACGTTTGCGCGAAGCACTCCTGGCCTACGCAGAAAAAGCTTGGCAAGAAGGCATACGTTTCGTAGCGTAGTACAGGCAGTAAAAGCAAGTCTATACGTGAAAAGGTACGTTTTGCTTTTACAGCCACTAGTTAAATTTTGCGGACGGTCAAACTTGTTTTTGTTCGGGTACGACTCGTTCTCAGTTTGACGATCATGCAGATCTGCTGCAGTCGTGTGCAGTACTCTTCTGACTGCCTGATGGTTTGATGCGTCGAAACTATTCTGCAGTGCAGATGTCTTATGAGCGCGTTTATTTGACTGGCCATGTTTGATCTAGTGTTAAAGTGGTTGGAAGGGGGAAGGGGAACTAATTTCTGTTGGCCCATTCCCTACAAATTTCCTTCTTTCTTCAACCTCCCGCTGCTGTCAAAATGAAAGATGGCATCGATAATCAAGTTATCACGAGAAAACACTGAGCTATCACTCGCAAAGATTACCTCGAAACGAGTCGGTTTGGCCATAAAAATTAGAAGCTGGCTACAAATTTTTTTGGTAGAAAGCCTCGCATCCACAATATGGAGCGCAGGATACAAACACAAGGGTTTTTTTTTTCTTCTTCTTTTCTCGGTAAAATTGACTACGAAGTTTTATGAAAACTGACTGACTGTTCCAGTTGATCTCTTAAACCTCTCTGAGCGTTTCGAAATACAGCTGCGACGTTTCTATTCAATGCAAAGTTTTTTTTTTCTTTTTTTTTTGGCGGGATAAATTGAGACATCACAGTGAGTAGGTAACCTGAGGCTAAAACTAATGGAAAACTTTTGTCGTGTCTCATTCCTGGTAGAATTTATCAAAATATGGCAGTGAAATCGAAATTTCAAGTTCCAGAGGAGGTTCAACAATATTTTAAGGTTAGTATGCAAAATTATAAAATGAAAATTAAGGTTCGAATGTAAAGTTAGTGTTGTTCTCATCAATATAAACTCTACCATCTTCTATTCCCCTTCCGTTTCCCGCAACCTCAGGTTAGGCCCATAGGGTAATAGAAGTATGCAGTGGGATATCAGTCTGTTTCGATGTGGTCTTTTCTCGGGCGGACCTGAATTAAACAGAATTTACACGTTTTTGAAAGCCTTCATCATGATCACTTTTTTTTTCTGATCAAAGGTTCGATTACTTAGCACATATCTCAATCGAAACGCGCCCCATTCTCATTTTATATCACTATATATTTTCTCTCTCTTTCTTTTTTCTTTTAGAATTTAGACAAGTGGACGTTTGATCCGTTCTCATTTAGCGACCTTACCTCTGGAAATCCTCTCCGTTACCTGGGCCACGAATTATTCACTCGCTATGATCTCCTAGCAAAATTTAAGGTGAGGTAACTTCTCCTGTAAAAAATTTTTAAATTAAAATTTAAAACTTATCTTGTTCTTTTTGTTCATGTTCTTCTTCTGCTTGGTTTGATATCTTAACGATTTTACCGACACGATACATGTAAATGTAAAATCTCCCTGTTCGCGCCTTTTTTTTTTCGTTTTCATTATAAGCTCCCAAAATGGTAGCAACTCCGCCCAGCCCCACCCCACTCATCCTACAGTTTTCTATGGGTTCTGAATAGACAAAAAATTCACAGCGACGTCGAACTAATGACTAAAGTATCCGGAAAAACCCTGCAGGTTGTTTGGTGCAAGATTCTTTTGAATAGTGAGCCCCACTACAGCATCACTGTCATTATTATATGTAAATGTAAAGGATTTTCTAGGAAAAGTTGACATATTTACTTTTGTGAGAGAAGAAAGCTTGGTTGTCTACTGGTTAGCGCACCGAAATCCTTATTAAAAGGATGTCGTTTAAGAAAATACAGGTGGGGAAAGGGTTGGGGGAAGCTATTTGGGGTGAAGCAATATCCCTCTCAGAAGGAGTAGTAACCCTTTTCGCTGCCTCTTGCTGTTCTTGGAAGTAACAGGCTATTCCTTTCGTAACAGTCGACAGTAGATTATTGTAAACAGTCATTCGACCTATCCCCTTTTCACAAAGCCTCTTCTTTCTTAAAGATAACATCTTCAACACTGGATCGTTTTCTGGTAGCCATTGAAGATGCATATAAGAGACCTGGGAATCGTTATCACAACGAGTTTCACGCAGCCGACGTAGCGCATTCGGTGCATTATTTCCTGTCACGTGTTGGACTCATGGTAAGTCGCGTCACACTTTCTGTGTACTTTACTTGTCACGCTTCAGACCCGAGACGATACGAATAATCTCCTGTCTCGCAATAGACTGATGATAAGTCAAGTAACGCCGTGCTCCTCGTCGTTAAAGGACGTGCAAAGCAGCTGATTGAACTGTCTTTCTTTTTCTTTTATTCCCTTTTATTTCACTGAGCCAATAAAGGAATTGTGGGATGTGAAGCAGCCTGATGGTTGGTGCGCTGGCAGTCTGGGTCGAGAGTGTGGTCCCGGTTTAGACCTAGGCGGGTCAAGTTGTTGTTGTTTTGGGCAAAACACGTTACTTTCAAAGTGTCTTTCACCCCCAGGAGTTTAAATTGGTACCGATGAATTTTCAGGGAAGTCTGAGAAAATGTTGGGGGAGTAACCTTGTGATAAACTGGAATCCCATCCGGGGGAAGTAGCAATACTCCTAGTCGCTTCATGCTTTAGAAATCTGGATAAGCTCTAGCTGGATGGGCCTTTTGTCAGACTTTACTTACTTTATTGATAAAGGAATTCAGAACTTTTAAAATTTCATTGATTATTTTTCGCAGCACTGTATGAGTGACTTAGAAATATTTGGATTATTACTCTCTGCCATTATACACGACGTGGATCATACCGGAACTACGAACAACTTTCACGTTAACGCCAGGTATCTTCGTGTGGATCCGCTATTGCATTCATACTCAGTTCTTTTTCAGTTAAGCATTTAGCCTGTGAATAGGCGATGTTAATAGTACTTCGGCCGCGGGAAAATACGAGGCCTTGAGGGACGCGTTTGATAGGTCTGCAAGGGATCCATCGGGCCCTTATTTTTTTGTGTTAGACCCCTAACATACCTCTCCCCGACTCGTCTCCGTCCAATTTTCCCGCGGGCGGAGAAATGCGAGTCTTACAACGCTAATATTTGGGACGTGCTTGAAGACTATAAGCCATTGTGTTTTGGTTTACATTTGGTAAATAACGTAATTTTCCTGATCTTTATCTTCCTCACTTAATTGCTTTTAAGATCCGACCTCGCATTGCTGTACAATGATCGCTGTGTGTTGGAAAATCACCATTTATGCTGTGCATTTACGCTTTTGAAATCGGTGAGTTTATCAATCACTTCTATTCCTTTCGATCAAGGAACCGATCATTGCTTAGTGCCCCGGAGGAGGGTGGGGGTGGGAAATCTTTAAAATCGGTGAGTTTATTATCATGATCAATGGACATGGTGTCTCAGGGGGGACGAGGGGGTGAGGTGGCGGGGGGAAAATCCGTCGTCGACAATAATGACCGGTCCTTGAATACGCCGCCTATCTACTTTTGCGTCTTGTTCGTGCTCTTTTCTGGCCGGTGTGCCTATGAACGACAACTCTTCTGGATACGACTGAAAATACACACACACAAAAAAAAACAACCTCCCCCCCTCAAAAAAAAGGAAAAAAAATGATTGTTGCCTTTAGGCTTTACCTGTATTCAAACGGCATCGGTCATCAAGAATGCGCGATAAGTGACACCTTCGTCAATTGTGGATGTACCCTTTCAACGAAAAACTATTTATAGCATACATGTTTAACCCTTTGTCTCCTGAGATTGACCAGTATCTGATTTCTCCCAACAACATTACCCTTATATCACACATTGTGGTCACGAGAATAAAGGAAATGATCACCAACTGTAGAAGCTCTTGATTGTTAAACAAATTCTCCTTGTCAGCACCTCAAGAAATGTATGGAGAACAGTATGGAGAATTTACATACTGATGTTAGGGTGTAAAGGGTTAATGAATGGTTTGTTTTCATCCTTTCTTAGCGAGAACTAGACATCCTTGCGGGTTTGACATCAGAACAGTACAGGTTCGTACCTCGACTACTGCTTTGTTGATCTTTTTCGATCCGTAGTATTATTGACCAATGGTGATTACGCAGTGTAACTGTTCGTTGCTCAAAACCACTTGGGTATCGCAATCAATACCAAAACGGGAACCCACCATCTTACATAATAGCAATTTTCTACGAAGTGTCGAAAGTATTTTGGATTACATTGACCTTGCTTTACATTGCTCTGTGATTGGTGCATAAACTCGGCTCGTGTCACTCTCTCAACCAATCAAATGGAAAACTAACAGCAATCACGACTTGGTCGCCTCGTTTTCCCGCGCTTTGCGTGGTTTGCATGTTCTTAGTTTGGATTCTCATTGGCTCACTGTATTTTCTTTTCTTCTGATTGCAACACTCATTCGGAAAGCCCTCAATAATACTTCGCTGGAAGGATACAAGGTTGATATGTCTCAAACTTCATACTTAACTTGACGAATACCATACCTATCCACTTCTGACTTCCAAATTGACGTTGTGAATGACTTTTTCAGTGACTTACGTACCTTAGTCGTGGATATGGTATTAGCGACCGACATGTCATCGCATTTCGAACAACTCAGAGCCATGAAAGCCACTCTCACAGTCCTAGGAAGGTAAGCCATCTCGTCGTCTTGTAAAATTTTGGGTAATTCTAGAATTCTTCAGTCTGTGAAAGGAATTGGTCCACGTGAGGATTGATCTAACGCCTTCTTTCACGCGTAAACATGGTTGCCATAAATCTATATTTTGTCACTTAAATGTGTCAAATCAGAATCTAGACCTTAACATTTAATTTCCTTTTTCATTCTCCAGTCAAGTAGAAAAGAGTCAGGCACTAGAGTTTATTCTTCATGTGGCTGACATTAGCAATCCGGCAAAGGACTGGGAACTACACCGACAATGGACTTCTCGTATCATGGAAGAATTCTTCTGTCAAGTGAGTGAAATGCTTTTAAACTCCAACCTGTTATAAATCGTAACTTGTTGTATTTTTTGCTTGTATTTCTCAAGCAAAACACGCAGAATAACTCCCATTTATTCATCCATTGTACACCTACGGTGTAATTCTCGCTATTAATAATGGGTTCTTTTTCTATACCATAGGGAGATCGCGAAATTGAGATGGGATTGCCAATTTCTCCTCTGTGCGATCGCTCCGTCACTTGTATTCCTGAGAGTCAACTAGGTACGCAACACATGCAAAATATCAATCATTTGTCCCTTGCCATTAAACACGAGGAGACAACTTGATCTTCACACTGTGAGATAAACTGTAGCTTAAGTAGATTCGAAAAATAAGTGTTAAAAGTAGTAAGGCTTGGACTGTGGTTAAACACGATTTGGTCATATATCTTTTGCGAGAAGCTCTAAACCCGCTAACTCACATGAGCGATTAAGACAAATTTCTCCTTACAATATATAGTACACAGGTAATGGAAATAAAGGAAAATATCACCTAGGGGTTTATTAGTTGATCCAATAACAAATTCTCCGAACCAGCATCATAAGAATTGTATGGCAGACAGTTTGAAGAGCTACCAATGAGATGTTGGTTGCAAAGGAGTCAAAACACCTTAGAAATTAGAGAAAGGACCTTGATGAAACTTGGTTAACTGGAAATGACAGATCTCTTTGCATTTTAAACTTTACAAGATTAAGTTAGTTCCTCCTCATTCTGTTTCTTCAGGTTTTATTGAGTTTGTTGTCATGCCAGCATTTGACGTGTGTAGCGAGATGCTGGACTTGTTACTGGAAACGAAGACATCGCAGGCCGCGGCAGATCTTGGCATAGAAGGATTTGGAGGCAAGGAGAGGGCCTGGGTGGCACCTCTTGCTGATAACAGGCGGAGATGGAAGGAACAGTGCCAGTCCTCTGCAAGAGGTAAGCTAGAAGGGCGTGCACGAGTATTTAAGCAGCCTATTGTTTCCGACTGTTTTTTCCTTTTTTTTTTGGTTGCTGTTGTTTGTTTGTTTTTTTGTTTTTTTTTTTACGTATACCTGACACATTTTTTTAAAATTTATCTATTTTAGAGGGAATGGGAGAAGCCCGCTCACCTTCAAATCTGAGCTTACTAAGTCGGTCTTCAATTGGCGTCACCGAAGATGAGAACAAGAACAGACAGAGTCCAAGAAATAGCAAGCCTCTCCTAACTCCAATCATCTCCTAACACTACCCTTCAGAGGAGAGGCTGAAGAATCGCCTTAGGCCTCGAGCTAGAGGCGTGAAAAGTCCTGCAGTCGGCGCATGCCTGAATATTGAGCCATTAATGGATAACCTTATTTTTATATCTCTTGTTTTGGTTTACCGAATCTGTAACCTATCATACAAATTTCAGGTTGTGCAATTTTTGCACATGTCGCTGTCTGTTTTCAGCGGAATTGCACTCCTATAGAGGCCTGTGAAAAAGGTGCAATTCTCGGACTGTAGAGTCCCTGCGATTTTGCCGCCATATTTTGGCGAGACCACATGGTACTTATCCTCATTTTTCATGTTGAACACCAATGTAGCAGATTAAATTAGTTGAAAGGAGAAAAGTTGGGAGTGGGTAACGAAGTGTGGGGGTGGGGAGGGAAAGAGAGGAAGGGAGGGTAGGGGATGGGGGGCGCAGTGAGGAGGACAAAATGATGGCGCTCATGTAATTCGTTATGCAGCCCGTGTTCCTTCGGGCGCAATGGCTTACGGGAATGTCTCATTATGACTTGCATGTTGAACAAATTAACAAAATGTTTAGTACTTTTTTTTTTCCCTTGGAAAAGCATAAAGATACCTGTATTCTCGAATGGAGTTTACCATCTGACTGTGATATCCCAGACAATGGTGAATGCCCTGGTTATAACATGCCAAAATTAATATTTTGTTGAACTAGATATTTATTCCCTCGGAATATTTATAAAGAAATACTCGTGTAATAAAGGACGTTTTTGAAACTCTTGAGTAACACCCGTGCTTACCAATCCGGGGTTTTTCCGGTACTAACCTCATACCCAGTCCTACCGTGTAAATGTAACTGAATTGTACAACCGCTTGGCCTCGAACGGTCTGAGTACGAGACTGACCCCGTACTCTCCCGTTCTCGTTGCATTGTTCCTTTCATAATTTGACATTAAAAACGCGCAAATTCGAAAAACCGTTACGGTTGAATTGTGTCTTAGTCAACATTTATTTACCGAAGTAGAGGTAGATAACTGTTTTTAATATATACCACACAGATATTAAAAAAAATTGGTTTATTTCTTCCAATATCCCGTAGAATGGTCGTTTATTAATCTTTTGACGCGCGGTTTTGTCTCATTGGCTGCTCGGACGCGGTTTTGTCTCATCGGCTGCTCGGAAGAGAATACTACTTGCTATTTACCTCCGAAGTAGCTCATCAGCGTGCGCAAAAAGCACTTTTCAATTGTGTGGTATATACTAATGCTAGTTATCTAATTGGCCAGTCCTTCTGGCTAGGTGGATACGAGCCCGTTAATGCACGAGGTTGAGTGGCGATATGAGTCACATCACGTGATAAGGTCATAGAATTCATAACTGTGACCCTCTTCCCCTTTGAAAAAATCCTTGTAAAACCTTTAACCCATAGGACTGATTGGCGTCTACTTTCTCCTTACAGTATCATTACTGAATCCAGCATTTATTTCATGAGATTAAAAATAAACAGTCGTCAACCAGAGAAACTCTTGATAGGTGAACAAATTCTCCATGTCGGCTCCGTATGAAATGTTTCAGCTAACAGGAAGTATTCAGAATTGAGTTAATATTCAATTAAGGCTATAAACCACCGAAAAAAAAACAAAAAACAGAACTGAGCCTGTTTTTCACAAAAATTCGGAAGAAAATACATAGTCAGAAAATTGGACCTAAGGTTCAACCCCTTACATTGTACAGATCCTTACCCAAAAATTTAGATAAACTGCACCACATTGGTGGCATTATCCTAGTTACAGACCCCTTACCAATAATTTAACATAGCTATAAATACAGAGAAAAAGACTTGATAGCATCAAATATTTCGTTATTAATTGCCCTTAACGACCGCGCATACATATTTTGCAGTGTGCATGTCATTTCCATAGCTTGATACTCGCGAAACAAGTAAAGGTAACGATGATTTTAGATGTAACATATAAGCGCAAATACTGCGTTCAGAAATTGCCTTCGAGTAAGCAATTAGTCTCCTGTACAGCGGTTCCTTAGGATATCGCGCAACACTGAAAAGAAGCGTCTACTTTAGAGAGCGTTCAGTGACATCAACAAGAACGGCGGAAACTTAACCGAAATTGCGTTTTAAGGGTTTACGAGAAAATCCTAGTTTATAATATTACAGTAAATTACCTATTTCCCCCCCCCCCTCCCCTTTATTTTGTTCACAAAGGGGAACATATGCATTGATACATTCCCCCTCCTCCCCCACTAAAAAAACGCCCCGAAAAACCCTGAGTGTATGCTACACATACACTATGAATACATTACTATTTATTATCATTAATAATAATTGATATTACTGTTAAAAAATGTGATGGCTAGATGGAAGGAAGGTGGTCCAACTTGCTCAGTTTCGTTTTGTCTTTGCCTTTGTCTGAAGAGGAAGCAAAACAGCATTTTGAATAAGTTGTCGGGTTCAATACGGCCAAACACGTCAAGAAAAAGGGCAGGAAAAGGAGTGCTACGGAAACTAATTAACAATTTGATTGTGTTCGAGAATTACATCGCGTGAAAATTTGTGAGGGCTAAGCCCATTTTGAGGACCACGCATAGACAGTAATTCAATTGTTTATGTATAAATCTACGAGTCCATGAAATAATAGTGACGAAGATTGTTCAAGACGGAAAGGTTGTTTGGTTAAGGTGCAGGTTCTTACAAAACTGCTCATGGGAAAGGAAACAAAAAATAATTACAGAAACAAATTTGAAGTTTTTCGCGACTCTGCACCTCGCTCTCGCAACAACAACAAAGATCGAAGGCGCGCAAAATGCTTGTCCCCTAAGGGACCTGGTACAGGTTGGCCAATCTCAGCGTTCCATCGGACGCCAACATTAGCATTAGCGTTGTATGAAATAGAAACATGTTGATAACTCACCTGTTCTGTCTGGCGCGGGCGAGTCAGTAGCGAGTTGGGGTAAGTGATGTGATGGCGGGTCATTTTCCAGCTGAGGTTTATTTCGAGGCTGAAATATGATGAAAGTATGGAGCATGAGAATCCCACTAAGATTGCTTACAATGTATGTGGTATGCCACTTGGAGTAATTTGTATCACCCGCATGAGCTATACCGAAATCATTCTGCAACTGTTTAGAACTGCAGGCTAGTCTTCCTGTGACCAGTGAACGCTAGCACTATAATAAGACACAATCGAGGTAACAAGATGCGGTTTTCTTTTGGTCATGCGGAGCATTTCAACTATCTTTCAAATTCCATATACTTTAAGTTGAGAGCTTATGTTTAAGAGAGAGAGCTTCATTCAAAAGATGGCCACTTGGCCTTAAATTGACGCCTACAAATGAGGAGGAGAACTTTACTCTCAGAGTACGCCAAGCTTTGGAGCAATTTTCATCTGAAAAAAATTCATCTGAGCGTCTAAAAGAAATCCGACGTTGGTTTGGCTTTACTCGACTTTGCTCTGTGACTGGTCCAGGTAAACTCGCGTCATCCTATCCACCAATCAGATGAAAAAAAAACAATCGCGACTAGGTCATTCGCGTTTTTCCGCGCTTCAAGTAGTTTGCTTGTTTTTACTTTGAGTTCTCATTGGTTAATGATGATGCAAACCGTTGTTCTGATTGGTCGCTGGGATGACTTTGGCTTTGCTCTTTTTTTTTAGGCATTGATTTGCTTCTTACCCGCGTTTTTCTCGTTTTGACCGGAGGAGGCGCCTTCATTGGTTCGTAATCGTTGAAATATTCGTGCTTCTGGAGTTGGTCGCAGGAATATCTGACGCTCGGTTCCATTGCAAAACAACACTGCAATAAAAAGAAACCAGTATAGAACTTCTACTATAGACACAAATCGTCGTTAAATTGTAAAATATAATCTTGGAATGAATGAGAAAGGAGTCTATATTGTAAAAGAAAGTCGACAGAGATATCGGCTGTGTTAAAATCGGAATTTTGTGCGCACCTCCATGTTAGATTGTGTGACGTAATGCGATCACTACTACTACGCGATTCCATGCGACTTCTATGACTAAAAGAGATATTGATTGATAATACACGTACAAGGCAGCCGCATGACGAGTCAATAGAATTGCGTTCTAAAGCACAGTCACAACATTTCATTATTTTCATTCCTTACCTTCATAAAACTCAAAGCTTGAGGTTGTTTGAATTTAGACTCTAAAGGATCCTGAAGAGGGAAAAGACAACAACAAACAAAAGGGGACGAGTAAAAACAACACGAAAAATAACTCTGGGAAAAAAAGAGGGAATAAGTTTCTGATGAAACTGTGGTGCTGCGTCGGTTGGTGATGAAGAGGGGGAAATAACTAGATAATTTGGTTTTCCCAGCTGAGTTGATAATGTAAATTGGCCACAGTAAAGATCTCTTAAGGCTGAAGTTTCGAGTGTTTGCCAGCGGCTCGAAACGTCAGGGTTAGAAACTCTTTACGGTGACCAATTTGCACTGTCAACTCAGTTGGTAAAACTAAATTATCATGTAGCTCCAAAAAGACAAACAAATGAAGCAAGCAGTTTCTTCAAACACATACAGAAGAGTTGACCTCCTTGAATCTCAGTAAACTTAGTCATTAAGGAATTGATCACAACATAGAAGCCTTAATTTTCCTAAAAATTGTCTGCATTTCTTTTTTTCATGGAGGTAGAGAGAGAGAGAGAGTAAAGTCCTTGGCTTGTGTGACTACGTCCAAGTTTGAGTACTCCACCTACCGTTTCTTGAGGTTCTGGAATAGCTAATCCACGATAAAACTGATTTGCTTTGAAAATCTTCTTTTGATTCTCGGTTAGATCACCTGACGGGGATACACATGAAATATGGGATTTTAAAAAAAGGTACTCTCCCATAATACATGTCGGTATCTACCAAAGGGAAAATTGATAGACCAAATATACTGAATTATTTGAATAGGTAACAACATGAGTTCAAGTGCAATTTGGTGTTAATAAGCATGAGTAAATTTTCCAAACACAAGTTAGCACGAGTAGAGCTAAAACTATTTGTAGTCTTTGAAAAATTTACAACTGCTTATCACACCAAATTGCATGTGAAATCATATTGTTACTTGTTAGTAATTTACATCAACAACACATCTCAGACAGTCACAACGGATGGAAATTGGCAACATGTGCTATTTGAAATTTGTACTCGTTTTACAACTTTGCACTCGTGTTACTTACTTGTATTCAGAAGAGCATAATTTTTCTGTCTATTTTTACAAACAAAAGGTAAAGAACTGATAATAAATAACATTATTTGATAGCAAACATACCTAGTGTCTTTCTGATCAAGTACAACTGATCTAGATCAGATCTCCCAGGCCATAATGGCTGACCGGTAATGAGCTCTGCAAACACACATCCAATAGCCCACACATCCACTGGAAAGCTGTAATAAACATCACCAACCAGAAGCTCTGGAGCACGGTACCAACGTGTAGCAACATAGTCAGTATATTCATCATTTTTAGCTACAAAATAAGAACAAAAATGAAACAAAAAAAATTGCCCCAGTTTTGCATTTATTTTCCTGGCAATAATAAGTCTAAAAATCTTGCACACTTTATAAACCAATCAAATGCAGAATTAAAACCAATTCCAACTTGTTCTTTCAAGTTTTCCCACTCTTCAAGCAGTTGGCAAGTTTTCACTTCAGAAACCTTGTACAGGCTGATTGGGAAAAAAATTTCATCTAAATAACTTGAATTTGGGTCAAGGCAGGAAGAGGTAGTCTCAAAATCCATAAGATAACAGGAGCGTTATTCAAGAAGAAAGAAGGAAAGCATGGCTAGTTATGGTAATCAATAAGACTGGTGAAGTCTCGAGCAAAGATCCTGAACCACTGAATTGAAATTATGCATGTATTTCACAACACTACATGTAGTTATTGTACTGCACATTGCAATGTGCAAGGCAACAAAATAATGTCATTATGACCTGAATATTGCTAGTGCATAACACTTTTTCATAACTTACTTAACATTCTGGCAAATCCAAAGTCACACAGCTTTATAACCCCATCTTTTGTTATGAGAATATTTTCTGGTTTAACATCTCTGTGAATACACTGCAAAGAAACATAATTCTATTATAATCTATCGTTAAAATCTTTCCAGCGTTTTCAAGAAAACAATGTAAAGAGAATAATGATTTGGTTCTTCTTGTCTGTATACTAAGTGGCTGATGTTGGTTGCCATGTGCTGTTAACCTTTAACTCCCAGAAGTGATCAAAACAAAACTCCTCCCAGCAATATCTATACATTATTCAGCAAACAGGTAATAAGAATATTCAAATTTATCAGGTAGAAGCTGCTATCTTAATCTAGCACCAAGTTCTCATAACCATAATTTACAAGCAAATGTGTAGCAGCTAGAAGGGAGAATTAACAATCAGATCTTGGGAGTTAAAGGATTAATTAACTTACATTGTGTGAATGACAAAAGCTGACAGCTTGAAGTGTCTGATAAGTGATCCTTTTGACAAGCTTTTCATCAACACTGAGAGAGAAGAAAAAATAAAGAAAAACAACTTTAAAAACAATTTAACTCAGACTTGTCGCAGCTATTACAAAATTTTTGATAGAAAGTAACTTTTACCCTTGCACCAGTACATCAATGCGACTGTAAAGGGTAAATGAGTAAAATCAAACTGCGTTTATGGCTACATGTAAGTACAATGTACATAATTATGAACAAACTCAGATGTTTAACCCTTTAACTCCCAGAAGTGATTAACAAGATACTTCTTCCTATAATAACCTTACAATATCTAGCATACAGGTAATGAGAATACTCAAACTTATCAGAAAAAAGTTGTTATCTTGATCTAAAACCAAATTCTCGCACAAATTTACACAGAAATGTGTAGCAGCCAGAGGGGAGAATGAATTATTAGATCCTGGGAGTTAAAGGGTTAAACCTTGCCCACAACTTCTGATTCTTAGAGACATTCGTCAATTCTACTATTCAGAAACTAAAAAAATATAAAAACATATCATAACTATTGGTGGCTTGTGTAGGGTCATAAATATTAATGAAAACTAAAATTAAACATTTGCTGCTGCAACAAAACACATCAAGGTGTAAAAGACATGTACAAGAAACTTTTAATATCATCCATGCATTTAGGTATTGACTGTTTTCAACATACATGAATGGACATTGAGCTGGTGCAATTAGTACAAATAAATTCCATACCCTCTTGGATGAGCTTCTAACTCATTTAGAACTGTGTGATCACAATATTCAAACACCATATGAATCTTGTGTTTTCTTCTGAAAACATCCCGCAGGTTTACTAGATTGTGGTGTTTAAGTGTCTGTAGAGCACAAAGAAAAAACCAAAGTTAGATCTGTTTATCAAAGGCAGAAGGAAATTGAAAGACTAGGAAGTAACATGAAAATAATGTTATTTGACCCTCTGCCCAACAGAAAAATCCAGCTTTGAAAACAGCAATCTTAAAAGAATTTTCAGTTACGGAAGAAAACTAAAAATAACTTGGCTGAGTTATTTAGGACTTTGGGTAGATGTTAGAGAATTCTCCACCAACACAGTTCTCCTTTTTTTAACACTGAAAACCCCTGTTCTACCTCTAGCTGCCAGCTCTCGCCCCTTGGGTTTGATTCTGAAAACCTAACCATTGAAAACTGTAATCTCATTCCAGCTGAAAAGTTTTAATTTCATGAATGCATGTAGCACCAAATGAAGGTCATATAAATGAGCCTAAATTAGCCTTAACCTTTATTTCTGGGAGAGTACCTTCATGATGGTAAGTGTTTATTATGTCGTAAAAGGTGGTTCAAAGTTTTAAATCTGTGAGTGAAACTCACGTTTGTGACAATTGTAAATTGCTGCTTATAAAACCAGGGCCTATAGAACTCCATAAAGGGTTTTAGGAGGGCTTATAAAATGGAGGGGCCTATATCCAAGGGGGGTTATCATGAGAACAGAAAAGGGGCTTCCAAATGAGCTATAGGGGTGCCAATCAAATATGTTTTGCATTCACTGGTTCTCAATTATAGTAGGCCTCACAATGTTGTGAAAAGTTGAATTTATTTCAATACATTTGGAACAGAATCAAAATTAACACAAAAAAAACAACAACAAAAAAATGGAACAAAACAAAGTTTTGACTTTTCCCTTCAGTTAAAAAAGATTCAACTGATTCACAGCAGAGAACCTATCTCTCAGAATGAGAAAAGCTAGACAGGGACTTACAGGTGCTTGGGCTTATTGCTTGGGAGGGGGAGGGAGGCAAGGATTATAATCAGCAGTTTAAGGTATTAAAATGAAGGTGACTGAGCAACACTTTCATGAGGAACTGTTCATTACCCTGTGCTAGCTTGTACTAAGTAGCTCAGAGCTAAGAGGGTGAACCATCTTAGTGTTTGATGACAAGTGCAACTTTTCCTATTAGTTTCTTAATGTCTGGTCTTAAAAAAATTCACTCCCCAAGAATTAAAAGATAATGAAAGGAAAGTTCTAGATCCTTTTGTTAGAGTCTATCGTCATGCAAATAATTGAAAATAAGTGACAGCTGTTTGTCCAAACAGCCATTCCTCTTATTCAAAGTTGACAGATATATAAAATTATCTATAATTAATTGCTGCATCCATCTAAATTTCATTTTGGTCTTTGGCGGTGGCTGCTTCATTTTATGCCAAATTACAGAAAATTGAAAAACTGAGAGTAGGGTTACAATCCAACATTTCTGAAGCAATATACAAATATCACTGAGTGAGCTACCCCAAGGAAATACACCTGCAAACAACAACATTAACTATTTGGGCTTATTCAAAACCCTTTCAATTAACTTTCCTCTGTGGCTAAAATTTTATATGCTTGATTTGGGAGTGATTAGCATACAGTAGTTTGTTGATACATTTGTGAAAAATGATCTTCCAATGAAAGAAAATAATAGTGTATGAAGGACTGATATTTGCCACAATTTGTAGTAATTTTAAAATTGTTAGCTGCTAAAATACATAAGTGTATGGTATACACAACTGTTACACATGTGGGTAATAATATTCAAATTCCTTGTCATCTGTCGTATCATCTGCTTCAGTATAACTTCATCGGACAAAAAAAAATTGTGTAATCCAAGAACCTAACAAGTTTGATTGCTAACATCAGTGCTTTTTCAGTGACTATTCTTGACTCAAACAATGGACTTTGCTGAAAAAGAGGGATCACTTGTAGTCTAGGTTTTATAAAGTAAGAGCCACTGTGATCTAAATTGGGATTTCTTGTTATTTCCCTTTCCCTATTCCCACAAAAAAATCACTCCTCTAAATGCTTAAATACAAAAAAAGAAAAACAAAAAGGAATTTTCTTAAATTTCCTCTTAACATTATCAGTGCCATGGATAAAAATTGTAAACACAATCTGGTAGAGATCAGTCTTAGTTATCTACGCTTTGTAACTGTTTGAGAATAAAATTCCAACTGGGGTGCATTTGTCTCTCAGTTGAGATTCAACAACCAATTGATGATCATGTAAAGTATTATTTTGGTGAAGGTACCCTGATGAAGGCCAGCTGCCACCTACCACTATGGTGGTAAATTCAGAACTGATCATGTACAGAATATGACTCTTATATCCTAAAACATTTGCACTCCTGAACATCGGATGTGTTGTTGCAGTATAATCTATATTTATGGACATCTCCCAGTACATATACTGCCCCACTTTTTGTTCTTTTAATAGTCATCTCACAAAACAAACCATCACTAATTTCCATTAGACCAAAAAATTTTAATCCCCTAATGTTTCCTTGTTTTTTTGAAATAGTCCACAGAACATTTCCCTTGCAAGAATAACCTCTTGTTTCCATACACAAATGATACGTGCTTAATCTCGTGGTTTGGTTCTAGACTATAGTAAACGGATTATCAGATTGTCGTTATTTCTCAGGTCGTTAAATGTATATTTTACCAATACCTTACAAATTTTGAGGCTTATCATTTGCAAAAATGGTCAAATTATCAGTTACAACCTCTCCTATATCAAACAGCCCGCAGGAACAAAAATCCTTGCGCAAGGAAACCGACTCCTATTAACCCTGGCGAAATCAACGAAGTTAGGCCCGACTAGCATTATTTGGGATTTGCAGTCAGATTAACATTCCACCCTCGTTGAAGGACTTTAAAATTTATTGCAGGTTATTTACAGACCGAACTATGCATTAAATGCTATGAATTTCAAACTTTGATGAGAAATTTTTGAGAGTTCACGACCACATCGCGAAAGCAGGTAGTAATCTAAACTGACCTTCAACATGCGAACTTCCCTCATTGCAATCTTCTTTATCAGCGGATCGTCTTCCGATTCCACAAACTTCTTGATGGCAACAATTTCCCCTGTTTCTTTATTTCTGCATTTAAACACAACGCCATATGATCCCTCGCCGATCTTTCCCAATTTTTCAAATTTATCCATTTGCGAAGATGTCACTTACTACCAGGAGCTAACGATCTCTGTAGTTATAGCATCGATCGGTGAAGCGAAGTCACAAATGGCGATAAAAAAATCACGCACACAGTTAGCTTTTGCCCTGAATTGAAATAAAAAACATAAAATGCTTTAGCAAATATCGGCAATATCCTTAATGGAGCCGTATCCATTGCGATCGCTGCAAATTCACGGATAAAAATCTCGCGCCGTTTAAATCCTTCGTAACTTACAACATGCAAACATGAAAAGATCTTTACCTTTTGTGGCTAAACCACTCATCGAACCAATGCGAAAATGCGCACCTTATCCAGTGTTCTACATAATCCAAGTACAAAGTTACGGAGCCGTAACTAGGAAGAAATACAACACAATATTGCTAATAGAGAATAGCCCAACTTCCTTCGGTTCTTTTCAACGAACGCTGTGACGCAAGCTGGATAAGTCACTACGGATCCTTACTAGGGAGTCGCCATGACAGCAGATCACGTGATCAGAATTTATAGGTCCGCAATAAATTAACACAATTTGAAAGATTTTTAAGAATCGTGGGAATTAGGAACTCTGTTGATGTTTATTTTCTTTATTTGAAGCGAAACACAGCCTGGATATTAAAAATTCGTTTCCGTTTTCGTTTTCATTACCTCGAAAGGAATAGAACTATTTATAGATAAAAAAGAATTGGTATCATTCAAACAGCACCAAAGAACACTTAATAGCCCAAGAATTTTGGTCTACATTTTGATATTTTGTTATTTATATTTCTTAAATACAAGTTATTTTATTATCTGATAATGTCTTTTCGCGATGTAATCAGTTATTTCAGCATTCTAAGGGTAGAAAGGGTGCAGATCTAAAAATTTTAAGTTTGTGTTTAAATTCAACTAAAATTCGTGAAACTCCTGTTTTTGCTAATGGGAAAAAACGGTTTCTCTTACAACATATTATCGAGCATTCACAGTTGAAAAAAATTATACATTTTGTTTCATTTAGAATTCAGAATGCCAAAAAAATCAGCATAATTTCGAAGAGATTTTAGCGATTCATATACTGATTTTTGATCTTACACTGCAAGTTTTATCCCAAACATTTATTAAAACGTACCTGAACAACAACTTTCTCTTAGTTCTATAAATTTTATTTCTTACTTAGAATATATATATATATAAACTGATGATTTTGATACGGAAGTTCTTTTCATTTGTAGCTGGCACACTGCAATTTACAATTGGCCAGACCACTTGAAAACTCTCATTCTGTTTTTTTTTCCTTTCCTGGCCGCTTCTCATGCAACACGCAACACAGTCTACTCAAAGGCTCTTACGTCAAATTATGTACAAGAAATAAAAGGTTTACATCAGAACATTCAACGCAAGAAAAGATCTTTTCTATTTTATTTAGTTCAAATGTCGTCATTTTCGACCTCTGATACAAACAAGCCTTTTGATAAAACAAAGGATTCGTTAAGTTGTATCTATCCATGGTCCTTAATGACGTTTTATTTTTTGATTCGAAAAATTAAATGTCAATCATGTTTAACCGAGGTAATCTTAAGACTTTTTGTATCAATTTTCTTAGAAATTTCTGGAGTTCGACCATCAGTGAACGTCGTACAAAAGCATCTTGTTTTTTTTTCACCTATTGTACCAGCAAACTTTTTTTTAAATAACATTTTGTTATCGTGATGAGTGTTGGCTACAGTGCGTGTTGGCTAAATAAACGTGCAGTGTGATGGGTTGTGACTTTGACTTGCAAATGAAGAGAAATTTACTGGCATTATGGCGTTCTTGTTAATGTAGAAAGAGAGAGAGAAAGAGAGAGAGAGAGAGAGAGAGAGAGAGATAGATGCAAGCTAACCCTTTCAGCCAAAGAAGCTATTCGGTGTACGGATTACGCCGGGATAGAGAGAAAGCTCTTAATCTAAGGGCTGTTAACCCTTTCACTCCCAAGATCTCATTAGTAATTCTCCTTACTGTCTGCCGTATAATTCTTATAATGTTAGTTCTGAGAATTTGGTATTGAAACCAACTAATAATCCCCCAGCTGATATTTTTCTCTATTCTCATCACTTGTTTGTTTGATATTGTATTGATTTGGTAAAGAGAAATTCTATCTTGGTCACTCAAGGAAGTGAAAGGGTTTACTGCCCGAAATAAGCAAAGGACTGAATGCAGCTGTCCGTAATAATCACGTACAGAACCTTATTTTTTATTTATTACAGAGGTTTGTAATGAAATACGTTTGTGTGATCCTTAAGGAACACCACAACACACCACAAGATGGGAGATAAGGGACATTAGCGTTTTCTTCTTTTCGTTTTGGTTTTCAAATAGTATTCATTTTTTGTTTTACTTTTATTTTGCACCTTGCTTTCTTTGATTGAAATGAAATATTGTAGGAGAGACATGTAAGATAACCTTCCAGGAAAGAGAAAAAATTTTCGATAATGGAAAATTTATCATTTTACCATATGTGCATTAGAGCAATAAAATTGCATTTTTATCAGAAAAAAGGCTTTTCCGAAGACGCGATGTCTACGAACACATAGAAACTGCCAAACGGTGTTGATTTTTTTTGTCTTTCGTCTGTCACCTGCTCTTTACATCTTTGGACAACCCGTCGCCTTCTAATGAACCACAAGCTGGGAAAGTTTCATTTATCAAGCAAGTCGCTTTTATTTCGAGTCGTGGTTTGTTTTAGAAACAAGCCACCCCGATAGCAAATAGACTATTCATAGAAAACACGATCCGGCTTCGATATTGCTCTAGAAATTTTGTGGGCGTCTAAAGGTAATAGAACCTTAGTCATCGACGCAAAATGGGTTACAACGCAAATATTTTTGTTACACCGGTGGATCAAAACCTACTGTGCGGAATTTGCAAGGAAGTGTTGAAGAACCCACGCGCCATGTATTGTGGACATACGTATTGCGAAGAGTGTTTAGAAAACTGGTTTAAATCCGCGAAAAACGTAAAGAAAAGTTGTCCTATATGTCGGCGCGATGTGATTTCTTCCAACACCGCACCAGTTTTAGCTCTCACCGCATTCATTGAGGGACTTTCCGTGAAGTGCGAAAATGCCGTGAACGGTTGTAAAATGGTGTTAAAACTTGGAGACTTGGAGAAGCATTTGGAAAAATGCGGATTTACTCTGGTAGAGTGTAGTGGTTGTGATGAAATATTTAGTCAAAGTGATTTTCACAATCATCGCAAAAAATGCGCGAAGTTGAATGATACCGGCTGCTTCGATGCCCGTGTGCATGCCGAGATCGTAGCGATTCAAAACGAGCTCTTCATGACGAAGAAGTCCCTTCGAACTTCCGAAGAAACCGTTCGAAGGTTGGAATCCAATTTGTTTGAATTACGGGTACAAAGGCGAATCCGAGCGGAGGCGACACGCGCCGAAGATTTCCGAGAATCCGTGTGGGATCCTGATTATTCATATGGATATTCACCTCGAAGCATTGTTCATCTTTCAACTTTCATTTCGTGTTTTTTGACTAACAAGCCACCTTACGTTGATAAAGAACGCATTTTTGTTTGTCTGAAACGCTGTTTTGATTTTTATCATAACTGCGCAGCGTTCTGGCAAGATGTCCACATGCTTTTGGCAACAGCATTGGCCAGTGGTTGGTTCGGGGATGAACAGCGAAAGAAACTTGACAATTGGTTGAAAACTTTGGCTCGTGAACGCCTCTTGAAGTGAGTTTCGCATGATCTTGGGAAGGAAAAGTGAGTAAGAGAGAAAGAAAGAGAAGAATAGAAAGAAAGAGTTAAAAAACTCCATTTGGCCAAAAATTACATTTGAATAATCAAAAACGATATAATTACCTCTAAATGATACATCTAAATTATTAATATTATATTTGAGTAACTTGGGGCTGTCGTAAAGAAACCTATAAGCTCTCCTGAACACATTTAATGACCTCGTTCACCATCGATTAGTCTAAACGTGTCAAATGAATAAATAAGCCTCAGACAAAACCGAGAAATATCCGAGTGAATTTTCCCACGTTAAATTCGTTAGTTCAGTAGGGATAAGAATTTTACCGCTGCAGAAGAATAGGTAACCTTGATTGCTGAGCACTAAAAACACTGGAGTCTCTCAAGTAATAAAAAAATAAAAGAGTAAATAAATGAATGAACTAAATGAATGAGACGGTTTTTTTGTTTTTTTCCTGGAAACGCCTCTGACTAAATAATAGTATGATTCGGTCACGAAAATCGCAATAAACGCGAAAAGTTTAATGATACCAACTGTTTCTGCACGTACCAGACCTCTCCCACTGGCGCTTCACCCGTCAGTTCGAAACTTGTAGGCTTCTCCGCTCGAGCTGAAACGGTAACGAGACCCTAACAGGCTACCTCAGCATAGAAACTATTTATTTTTTGGTTTCTGGTGAACAGGAACAGTTTTTCTCTCATTGCTTATAACAAAACTTTGTGTGACCAAGATGTTAATTCCTTTTTAAATTTCAGTAAGAATTTGCTTATAATCATTCATTGCTTGCCATTGCAATCCACCAGTGATTGAACCTCAAATGACGAATCGTATTGTCGAAATTCGTGCATGTACAGCTTGAATGAAGACCTTTGCCGCACACAACTCGGCAAAGCATACATGATATCGGGTTCATTTTAAAATAGATGTGACTTTCAAAAAGATTGATCAAGCTTTCGCTTTTTTTTTTTGTCAGGCGCAGGCCTTCCAACAATCGCGAGCAAAAATCTTACCGCACAACCGGAAGATATCACGCTTATTAGTTAATTTTCATGGAGGACAATTCAACTCAGTGTCGTAAAATCAAACACATCAAGCAACGTTAACCAATCGGAGGAAGGTAAAATTTCACGACAGTTAAACCAATGAGGATAAAAGTAAAGGCAAGCGTACTGCTCAAAGCGCGAGAAAACGCGTGTGACGATGAAAGTAGTGGTTGCTTTTGGTTTTAAATCTGATTGGTATAGAGGATGGCAGGAGTTTTTTGAACCAATCACAGAGCGTAGAAAAGTAACACCAATGTAATCCTTGGTTAATATCAACACCCAATTGTAACCTTCTCTAAATAATACTCGATGGTTAGTCAGAGAAAAGCGCCAAATAACTTGGATGTACCCTTTCAATTGGTCTTAGTTTTCAATCCAATGAATTGCAAGTTGTCGTTGCTGTTTTTTTTTTCTCTTTTTTTCTAAGCAATAAGAAGAGTTTTTTAATGCAAAACTAGTTTGCATCGGGGCTCTCTTTGAACTCTTAGTTGAAAGCTACCTTCATTGCTATGTACATCTTCCACTAATGCTTTGAAGAACACATAGAGAATTGACGTATTTACAGAAGAACTGGACTACTTCCTTCCTCGTTTACCATAGTAACCCATGGTAGTTCAGAAATATCCCTTTCATCTTATTAAGAAAATTAATCAACACCTTTTGCGTCAAATTCTAAATATTCGTCTCAAGAAGAGAAAAAAAAATGAATAACATCCAATATTGCAAATAAAGAAATATAGAAAACTATCATATTTCTCGTGGTGCGCTAAATTCTGAGGTAAAAAAGGGGGAAAGGGAGTCCTTTTCGGTTTGTGATCATAGCTGTAGTGATTACAAAGATGACCGACTGCGAATGTGGTAGTCTAATTGTCATCACCCGTCTTAACAGAGAAAAGATTGGACGATGCCAAGCTGTTTGAGATAAATCAAAAATGTAAACTATCGTAAAATGCCCCTCAGTCGAACGAATTTATGAATAAAAACACGATGGTTGACTTTTTTCTAAGGAAAATGCACCCCAGTTGTGCGGTCAAATGACGGGTTCTCTCCTGTTACATATGAATGACGCCGAACCTGTCCTTTTTCACTATAGTCACTGTTATTAGTTTTAATCAAGACAAGTGTAACACTGCCGAGAGCCAATCACGTCGGAGAAGCTAAAGGAGAAGTTTGTGAGATTGATCACCGAGCAACCATCTTTATATTCAAAGTTGTCGTCTGCCAAACAAAAATAAACGAAAGGTCCATTTTTTTTTTCACTATATCAGTACTTCTAATTTTATAGCTTTACTCATGTCAATACCTTTCGCCTGATCAGTCGGTAAATTTGATCAGTTTTGAATTTAGTTTAATTCCTATCCTGCAATAAAGTTTTTTTTTTTCGATTTGGGCCTGTTTTATTCTTCATCTTTGCAGCTATTAATCATGACCAATAGATCTTTTAATATTCGTTGCTTTCTTGTTTTCTTTAGCATATACAAGTAAGCAATGAAAAGATGTCTCCTACTGAACATTTTCATTACCTTTATCAAGACAATAATTTCAAATCATTTGAGATATTTTTATGAGTTAATATCCATAGAGACTGAAATATATTCGTTAAGAATTAATTACTCTTCTATTAAGATAAACGAGCTTGCAAGCCGATAAGGACCGTTCTTTCATTACTTATTATAGATGGTGAAAATGAAGCTTTGTTTTTCAAAGGGGTCTGTACTTTTGATATGGCTGGGATGCACTCTGTTTTTCTTTTCAGCGCAAATCAGTATTTTCCATATAACGTTTTATATCGACATAGATGACTCTGGTGTTACAGTTTTGAACAATGGTGCAAACTCAACAGAGAAGCTTCTCCTCGAACGATCGTCTCTCACATCTAATGGTACAGGTGAGTGAGGAGTCGAATTGACTTGTTATGTTAGCAGGATATTTTAGATAGTTAAATATTTTAGGCTTTCTGTTTGATTTCATTCTAACTGTATCAAATCCATTCTGAAATTGAACTGGAAGTTTACATATTCGGGAAAAAAGAGAAGCCAAGGAGCTAAATAACGGAACACATCCTGCTTCATGCCTTGCTAAGAGAATAATCAGATATCGACACAAACTTGCCGTCAAAATTAGAACCCAACTGGGTCATCTTTCAGGGCATTTATAAATTGGAACATTATTGTCACCGCCACAACCTACCAACCAGTTGGAAATGTAAACAAGAAAAATTTGAAATGATTTTTTAAAACTTCTGTCATCAAAATACAAAACTTTTCGTTGATAGAATAAAGGTCGAGAACTATATACATTTACTACTTTACGACTGTTTATCGCTGATTTTTTATATCAGCAAAACATTTCCCAGTTTTAATAATGAGCTGCCAATTTGATCACTTTAATTCCATGTGTCAGCTATCTTTGAAAAGACGACAAAAATAGCTATTTTTTGTTTGGTGAGATTCTGATAAATGGAAGCCGGAGAATTCTGCCGTTTCATTGAAAGTAAATGCTGTGATACTGACGCATAAAAAAGACGAGTTTCCAGCAATGCATTTTCATTTGAACTCTCTTACCCAGTTAGTATTTGGATTTCTATAGTGTTAAACAGTGCGAACCTTATTGTTAGCTTTGGCATTTCTTCTTGGGTACCAACTACATTACGCGTTCATTTGCAATCTAAATAATTCTAGCAATTGAAAGGAAATAAGCAAGCGTGCTTGGAATATGAATGAGCTGTAGTGCTGTGTTTGTCTGAAAACGCAAGTGATGTATTTATCTTATTTATAATTAACCACAACCACTATACATCAACATTTCTATACTATTGAATAATTATAACTTCACTCGCATGTGATTGTTCCAAGTCAGCTCGCGGCTCCGATTTTTCAATCTTTGTAGCCCTGTGTTAAGCAAAACAACGTGCAAAACCATCTTCAGTTTGACTTGGAAAACGGAATCAAGAAGACAAAGAGCTAATGCCTGTAAAGGCTTTTTTTGATAATGAAAAACTCACAGCAAAATTTCCTCACAGTCCCACACCTCAAATGCCTACAATTCTTAGATAACATATAAAATGACGAAAACGATTGAGTACCTTTGGGATTAGGCTTTGAAATCTTTCCCAACTCACTCATAACAATATATTTTTCCTTCTAAATTTTTTTTGATGGCAAGCTGTTTGTTGATGCAGTGCTTAGCTCGCTGCATAAGAAACTTTTATCCGACATCTTTCTCGTAAAACATTCAGGAATTTAAACGTTTAGCTCCTTTAAGATAAATTAAATGTTAGCTCACAAACTTAAGCAAATTTTTCGCGCACCAAATCAATCTCGAGCCCAGAGCCATTTCGGCTCCTTGTCAGCGGTATGGTCGCCAAATAATAACAAGGAGCCAAAATGAACCTTTTCCAAAAGAAAGATAATTATGAAGTTTTTGTTGATTGAATGAAATGAAACTATGAAATTCTTGCGGTAGTTGGCTCTTTATCTCGATACAAATAATGAAATTGAATCAGAAAAATTTCAAAATCAAAACAAATATTCATAATTCAAAGGCAACTGAGTTATTTTACTGAAACAATTGCCGATGGCTCATTGAATATTATACACTTACTGCATGGTCCCGAGGGAGACAGTTAGTTTTGTTTTCCCTCAAGTCCTGATGTTTCCCTTGGCGAAGTCGAGGGAAACTAGTCAGGGGCAAAATTAGTCAGGGGCACGTGACCAAGAATCAACCAACCACAGTGCTCGTTTTGTTGAGTGAAAGTCTAGGTATAGAACAATGTTGAATAATCCCCTTGACTTCGGCGAACAAATAAACTTATTTTGACCAGGCCAATATGAAATTTTGAATTCATAATAAAATGATTATGTTTTGAAAGATTGCTATAATTTTTGAATCCTATTTCTAGTGCTAAATAATCCCAGCGGTAAAGAGACTAAGTGTTACATACCAGATGATCCTTTGTTCCCGCTATGCTCCATCAAAATTAAGGTATGCCATGTTTAATAAGCTTGTTATAAAGAGAAATCAGATAATTTTTCCCTGTTAACAGCAAAAAGGCATGAAGATTTTAGATATATGAAAATTCACATATTTGCACTGCGGTGGAAAGATGAAATTAGGAGATCCTCGCAGCTAAGAACACTACTGAAACGAGTAGTTGTAAATAGGACCTGAAAAAAATTTCAGGCCCGTACGGGATTTGAACCCATGACCTCTGCGATACCGGTGCAGCGCTCTACCAATTGAGCTAACAAGCCAACTGGGAGCTGGTCAATGAATTGGGTCCAAATAAACATCCAAGTGAATGAAGATTTTAGATATATGAAAATTCACATATTTGCACTACGGTGGAAAGATGAAAGGCATGTTACAAGAAATCGTACTTTAAGTCATTTATTACACAATTTTGTACACTAGAGAAATCTCAAGCCAATCATCAGAAACAATTTATGACTTTTTTTTGCTTAAGCTCATTCAGATGTATTTTCTGAGAGATCCGATTGGCTCCCTCTGTTATACACTTTGATTCTGACTAGCCGTTGTTATATTCTCGATTTAATGTCACACTGTCTAATCGGAAAGCTCTGTATTCACGCAGTTTGCCCTAAACGTCTTGTCATGCTAGTCTGGTGTTGGTATGTTCAACTCTTAAAGAATATTTATTACTCCCTCTTGTCACTCTGTACAGGAATTCAACAAAACATGGGACCAGAAATGCCATGGGGAGAAGTATAAGGTGGATCCTACCAGTCTGTGTTCTGTTATTCAGTATCTAAGTGAGGTAAGACCAGGACTGAAACGTGAGGAGAGTCTTATAAGGAACGTGCAATGCACGTGTACTACACAAATATTTGAGACGATGAATTTCCATTGCCTGGACTTTAATTTCTAGGTGAACAACCACTCAAGTGTTAGTGAGACCTAAGTCCGTTGTAGGACAGCACCTTACTCAAATCTTTTTAAATTCCTTTATTATCGGAGATTTAAATCAGAATCGCCGGCGGATGTCCGCAAATACTTGAAAAAAGTTTTCTTGACCTTCAAACAGTTTTGAGAAACTTCAGAAAGATGTCGGAAACCGTCCTACATGACTCGTAAGAAAAGAAACCGTCGATAACCGTTGGAGGTTCATCATCGGTAGTCTGAAGGATGCCTGACTATTGTAAACTCTTTTCTGTCTTGTATGTAAGGTTGCATTAAAATTACAATTATCATTTGTAAAAGGTTCAAGCTTGGTGTCCAGTATTACCATGGCGACAAGACAAAAATCCGTACAATGTTGAGACAGAGTGGCAAAAGGTAATGGCTCTTACTTCGATTAGGAATGTTGAATATTGAACTGAATTAACCAGTTTTTTCTTTAAAGGTGATGGCTTTGCAAAGAAATGCGATGGATTACCCGAAAAAAATAGCATAACTGGCCTCCATATGGTTTACCCGTTCATGCGTGTATTCTCTCATACGTGTACTCTCTCTAACTTGCCTTGTGTTAATTTTTATCATTAATCACCACATCCAAGAAACAGTAAACGAATGAAGAGATGACTGAATAAGTGAATGAATAAATGGAGGAGTGAGTAAGAAAGTAATTAAGTGAGTAAGAGAGTGAATCGATGAATGAGTGCATGGGTAAACGCGTAAATAATGAATGAGAGAGGGTGCGGGTAAATGAATAAATAAATGAATAAATAAATGAATAAATAAATGAATAAATAAATAAATGGATGGATGGATAGATGGACGGATTGAAGATTGGGAAATCGGCAGATGATAGATTGGCAGATTGTCTTCACTTTCTGATGGAATAAGAGGATCGAAGATTTGTTTTGGCAAAGCTTTTGATCACTGAGTTTTTTCTGACTAGAAATAAAATCTTTCCGTGACTTTTTGTAAAAAAAATATATCTTTTTACCTTTAGGCTACTGTTCAAACAAATCTGTCAGCGCTACTTGAAAAATTTAAAGGAGACAGATATTATTGGATGACGAAGAGGATCCAGGGAATTTGGCCTCAATGGTTAGAGGCTTTTGAAGAACTAGGATCGAGGGTGAACTTACATGGTCGGCGAAGGAAAAAGGTACAAGAATTTCTAACCATTTGCCAAACGCGAAATCTATCATGACACACAATAATTTCCATTTCCTTGAAGAACACTGTATAACAAGCAGTTCATAATCGCTAGGACACACAGCCTTCTCTTCACTGCGTAAGAAAGGGGATGCGAATTGTTGGCTTCTAAAACTGGATATGTTATTCTTTATTTTCCTCTTTCAAGTTCTAAAAAATTCCTCGTAGAAGTCTGTCATGATTTTCTTTTGAATTTCTCTTATTTTTCATGAGAGTTTTACAGTATCGATCCTGAGAATGAAACAAGTTCCCCTAATTATTTTTTTTATAGATTTTGGTTTACATGGCTGGAATGGGAGAGCACAAGTTTTTCTTGGACGGAGCTTTCATGGGAGGGCCTCTTGGGGAACTGGCTCAGTGGTGTGACCTTATAAGTGCCCTATATATTTTAGGCCATGAGCTTGTAATCAGTTTTATGAAAGAAGAAGTACCGAGGTGAGGAAAGTTTCCTTTCTTACATGCCTCTGATCATACTTTCGGTTTATTTTACGGTGGCAACCAATAGAACGCGTAAAGCTGAGTCATGCGCCCTTCACAATTTAAAACTTTTAACATACTCTGCAGCACTTTATTAACGGGCGATGGGTGGTTTTTGACAGCCTATTTTTACGGGCTATGAATCTGCTTTCTCCCATGAATTTCCCTACTCGATTGTCAGCATTCAACAAGAATAATCTTTTTTAGATTTCAGGATTGACAGGGTTGGCTTGCTTGCAGGAATGCCAAGAAAGACCAGTTTGGGTTTCATAATCCATTGCTGTTGTTGTTGTCGCTATTTTTTTTTGGGGGGGGGGGGAGCGTATAGGATTTCTGAAAAACGTCGTTGATGGTACATAGACCTTTAATTAATAGCTTGCGGAAGACAAACATCAAACAGACATGGCTCATGAAGCAAATAGGGCACTCATATACCTCCAGATTGAGAAGATGAACTCGGAAAACGGTAAATCTTTGGAAAAGTGCTACTCAGCTTCTCTCACACGTAATTTAAACTTGCTCATGCACAAAAAATTTCTGATAGTTACTGAAATCGTTGTTTTGATTCAGGTTCTTGGTTGTCCCGACCTCAGATGGTTGTGCACGTCAAAAAATGGACGATGAAGTGGACCTCATTTTCACCGACATAATGGGAGTGTTGATCATATCTGTACACAGTGGACAGGATTACTCGCGACACAAGTGCGTGATTTCTCGACAGAAACGTGTTGAGGTTTTATGCACAGTGACAAAGCGCTTGAAAAACCCAACACTGCGATAAAACTAAGACAGCAACAAAAAAGTGGACATATGGATAGCTGGATAGCTAGACAGTCTGACCGAACGATCTGAGGGTGAATATTGAGACAGATAGGCAGACAAACGGAGAGCTAGACAGACTGACAGGCAGATAGACGGTAAGTCAGACAGCGAGAGAGACAGATAGAGGAGAGAAAGGCCGATAGACAGACAAAAAGAGAGAGACACCTAAAAAGACTGGAGACAAACAGAGAGACTGTCAAGCGAAAAGGGAGACAGACACAAAGAAGACAGACCGACAGAATGACAGGCAGAGAGTCCGACATTTAGCCAGATACACAATTAAGGTCCTCGTCCGTTGTTTAAATCTGAGATGAAGGGCAGGGAGAGGGCAAAAAAGGGCTCAGTCGTTTGTTTGTCACTTAGTAAATACGAATTTCGTCATAAGAAATCTTGGTCAAATTAACGAATAAATAAAGGAGCAAGTTTCTAAAGAAACTGTGGGGCTGCGTCGGTGGGAGAGTCTAGGAGGTAATTTAGTGTTAACAACTGAGTTGAAAAAGTAAATTGGCCACCGTAAAGAGTAAAAAAGCTGACGTTTCGAGCGTTAGACTTTCGTCCTTCGCCCTTCCCATCGCTCTGACGAAGGACTAACGCTCGAACATCACCTTTTTTACTCTTTACGGTCGCCAGTTCACGTTTTCAACTCAGGTGTTAGCACTAAATTACCCAAATTAATGAATAGTTGCCCAATTCAGGTAAACTACAGTTGATTGAATTCTGTACCCTTCATATGTGATTTTTTTTTCGCTAAAAGATGTCATAACTCAGTTTTAAAGGATGACGGGTTAACTTGCTTTTCGTTCTACAGGTGCAAATTTCGTGTCTTAGATTCATTTGGTACAGACGCGGAATTTAACTATAAACGTTACAAGGGGGAAATTCCTGGAGGGAGATCTCCTTGGGGAGATCTGGACCTTCACCTAGCGCAATTTATGACGATGTACCGTGAGTATCAATTTATTTAGAATTCAATTTTTTTTTATAGTTAGGTAATCATAACTTAAGCTATGCCCGCAGTAGAAAAAAAGTTATCCTCAACACGAGGGAAACCATATCATAATGATGACTTACACTGGCTGCAAATATAATAAAACTAGGCAAAGAAGTTAAATAACGCTTTGCAAGTTAGGATCAGTTAAGTGACACTGATTCCGCACAGATTTTCTAAAAAAATATCAGAGAATTGCACCAGACATCATGCATATTTTTAAATTAAAAGTCGGAATACTCCTAAATCTCACCCTTACCCAGTCCTGGTTGTCAAGGTGCAGACTTTTGGAAAGTATTTAAAAAATACTGACATCAAAAGAATGGCCTCATGAAAATAACAAGGAAGTGTTAACGATTCATGGAAATTTTTATGTCAACGGCGCTTGGGGGGTAAACGAAACTATTGTGCATTATTGAGCTATTCTAAACGAAAAAGGGATTTATTAGTGAACATGGAAACAGTTTGGTGATGGAACTCGAGCAAAATACCATTTGAAAGTAATTAGGGAAATCCAAGGAGACTAAAGGATTCGGGCTTAGGGAAGTGAAAATTTACATGGATTGTAAATGGTAAATTTGGAAGACTCAGGCTTAATTTTTCAATCTGCATAAACAATAATTTGCCTGTTCCTTTTTGTAGCGCATAGCCCTGACAACTCCTTCCTTGGTTTCGCTGTTCCGCGAAAGTCTCGGGGAAACGTAGTTCATTCAAATGACCGAATGGCAGCACTTGTTTATGGGAAGGATCCAGAGTTTTGGAAGGTTAGCTTACCTGATGCACTAACAAGCAAATTAAAATGATCTTGATTTCATAGTTGAAAATGGTTCAATCTCAACAATTGCCTGGACGACAAATTGTTTAACGTCTTTGTTCGAACTAACAAAAAGGAATTATATGATATACGTAAGAAATGTAATTACCAGAGATTCATAAAAATTTTCATAGAAGAGAACTAAAATGAAAATACTTGAAGTTCAGCTGGTAAACGACATGACCTAGTTCTGTAGCGTCATCCAGCCAAATTGTTTTCCTATCAGAGAACAAGAAGTAGTTAAGTAAACAGTCAAACAGGCTAGGGTAGAAAGCGTGCCTGTAAACCGAACGCTTGGTCAAAACTGATTCACTTATAAATAAAAAGTTTATTTTTTTGGCCTAAACAGCTACGCCATACACTGTTAATCACATAATAATCAATTATTAATCAACCGTCGATCACCGTGTTAACCTGAAAAGGAACAAGTAATATTATTTAGTCAACGACGCAGTAGTGGTGACGAATGTTTACAAGCTTGAAAACGTAGGGGTGAGGCGCATGGGTGATCCTTCACGCAAACCGCGTGAGGCATTGATCCTTGAAAGTCCGATGGCTTGCGCTGGCTGATCTATATAATGGTAATAGCACCTAGTGGAGTCTAATTTGGTCTGTAATCATAAGAGTGATTAAAAAAAATAGGACGAATGTTAAGCGGGATTGCGGTTTGTTGATCACGAGCATGATAGAGACAGACAGACAGAATTGGACGACTGTTATCAATTAATCAAAACTATAACAAAATTTGAGAAAGAAACTAGACATCGGTTATGCGTTTTCATTAAAAAAAGCATCAATTAACTTGGCGAAATACGAGACAATAGCGCGCGCAGATGACGCGTTCTGTCCTTTTACACAGGCATGACGTGTGAACTGTTCCTTTAGCTGTCCTATTACACTATCCAATTACAAACATGACGCCTACACTGTCCTATTAGTGCTTAAATCGGGCTGGTGATGACCAATAGCGTTCGAGAATTTTGTTATAGTTTTGATTACGCTTGAAATCGGATTTGTCCATCAAAACTCTCAATGAATTAAATCGGAGTGATTCCACGAGTTCTCCGAGTCGTTACTCATCGGTTTGATTGACCTCGATTAGTTTGATTCACTAAAAAGTTTTTTTTTCTTTGCAAACTTGTTTTCCATTAGGACAGAGTAGGTTAACCATTTAAGAAGTTCTTCTAAGACTTCTTCAATACTCACGACACGCCTCTCCTTTTACCATCAGGGTCACGCTGATTATATCGACACAGTGAAAAGATATTTTAACGAAGTTCACGCCACTTTGGGAAGAGCGAGTGTAAGTAATATGTAGATCAAGAACTTAGAAAGTTTAAGCCGCAGCCGATGTGGATCGCAGGCGCCCCTAAACATCCTTGGTGGGGAAGACGTCTGAGAACCTTGAGGTAGTTTCAGCGGTCATTCACCCAAGTCGTATTTGGTTTAAGTTTCGTATCCAGCGATTTATCACACAGAATACAGTGAAGCATATTTCTGTGAATCCCAAATCTTTTTTCGCCATACGATAGCTTTTATGCATGATAACTTCATTTACTTAAACTTGTTCCTTCGTCTTGTTTACACTAAACTTATTTCGAACCTTCACCAACTTCTTGATGTTTCTGAATTGGAAATTTATAGAATAAGTTCTCATCAAATTTCGCGACTCCGCGCCTTTAAAACGAAGCTTGGAGCATAAAATTGGATATACCGACTTTTAAAAACACTCATTAGCCTTTGTTAATTCGTTTATCCTATATTTGCCCGTAATTTATTATAGGAGAAACAGCGAGAGTTTGGTGTTCCTGAATATGTGATCAACCATGGGATAATTAATATTACATCACTTGTGAATCTTTTGCAAACTAGTAAGGTAGGTGTTTTAAATATGTAGAGCTAATATGAAAGATGTACTGCAAGACTTCTCCCATGCATCCTTAACCCTTCAATAAGAGCAAAATGTGATCAACTGAAATTATTTTTTTCCGGTTTTGGCCTTTATATAGATCGCTTGCTTAGTTTTTCTTTTTCAATGCTTTTTTTTGGTCTTAACTGACATAAATGATAAAGAAAAAAAAAAGAATTTTCTCGGGTTTTCATATTAGTTCATTTGGTTTCTTTATCTCGTCATTACGTCTCTTCAGGTTGGAAATTTATCGTTAGCGGTTCTACAGCTATTTATTGACAGGAACATATCAACTGTTGATATTCTCTTGATTAATTATAGCGAATTATAGTTAAATACAATTTTCGCAGAAAGAACTGACAAAGCCTTTGAGATTTCTCTTACTCCGACCAAACAATATAGCTGTATTTTTTCCTTTGAGGTCTTTGTAGGTCTTGGTCAACCTTTCGAAGGACCAGCAGCCCTTGAAGCCTTGGCTAACGGATGTTTTTTCCTTAATCCCAAGGTAATGCGCATGACTATGTTGCTTGAAGGTGAGAGTAGAACAGAATATTTCGCTCAGGCCGAAAAAGGGAAAAAATATAAATGAAATTATGATTGCTATGTCGCACCTTTGTATAGCACGTGAATGACATTGCCTCCTAAAGTATTCATTCCTTAATTCCCTTGGTTAGATCATCATTTGCGAAAACATTTTACTAGTCCTGTGTTCAGATAAAATTCACACTGCAAGTCTAGGTCCGAAGCCACTTACCTTTGTGAATAGGCCCATGAACCACAGGTTTCAGAGCCAAATTTCGGATAATTATGATTGCGTTTTCAATCTTAATTTAATTATTTGTTAATTCACTTATTATTGTTTCATCTACAGTATATCCCGCCGCTGGACCGAACAAACGCAGGCTTTTTTGCTGGTAAACCGCTGAATAGAAAGGTAATTCAGAAATTCACAGGTAGTTCGCAAAGATCTTTTTAAGCTTTATATCACCCAGAATGAGGCGACCCATTTGGAACTCTTTTTAGCAGCCTGCAGGAAAATTGAAATCCATTGTGGGTACTTAAGCTCGTACGAGAGAGAAAATGGCCTCAAACCAACTACCAGCAAGCACGTCAGGTGATATTGCGGGCTCGCTACATTGACTAATCATTTGAGAATTGAAAAAACACTCTGCAACAGGAACATTTCTGCCAAACTTTGCCTGGGAAGTTTTTTACATCACACACGTTTTTGACTGCGTAATTGTATCTGGAAAAAATCTGCTCTTTAAATATCAGTCGCGAGACAATTAATTCCTGCTTATTTCATTCTATTGCATTTTAGATAACATCTCAAAATCCTTACGCCGAAGTATTCGTCGGTGAACCTTTCGTACAAACCGTGAACATCAAAAACTTGACTGAAGTTGAAGAAGCTCTCCGAGAAATTATCAGCACAAAGGTAAATATTCTTTTTTCGATTTCTTCACGGAGAGAATAACATATGGGGTTGTTTAAGTTTGAAGGTAGAATTTATCAGAAAATATCCAATTCATATATCATTGCAAAATGACGTTTTAATTTTAAGAATCTTGGGAAAGTTATTCAACAGATATTGGGGTTTGGAGGGAACAAGAAGTCTATTCAAGAAACGAAAAAACTGATTCCCAAATATGTTAAATTAATCCATCTTTTTTTTAATTTTATGTTAGGAAGAGCCTCACTTACCTTACGAATTTACTCATGTTGGTATGTTAGAGAGAGTAAATGCATATGTGGAAAATCAGGTAATACTACGTCATCTGATCTGATTGACCTTGACGATACGAAAAAATTTCCACCATGTATGACTGAAGGATATGAATCTCACATTATTGAGCAAACCATTTACCTGTTGTTCCAGGATTTTTGCAAACCGACGAACTGGCCACCTCTGAGTGAATTAAGGACTCTCGTGGGAGGAGAGGGTGAGTCCTGCATAGCGACCTGCCTTAGAAAACAACTGATCTGTGAACCGAAGTTCTTCGTGTCTTTAGACGTGGAGGAAGCCTTTAAAAGGTGGGATTTGATACCGCATCAAGAGATATCATGTTTGGCTCACTTTCTTCGTGTCTTTTGTGTCGGCAATATCTCTTTGAATTTAATATACACGTCTTCATTGAATGAAATTTTGTGATAATAATTTGCAGTTTTGATTATTCTTAGTTCCGGATTTGAGTGTAAATCAACGTTTTTCCACGAGAGCATCTTGGCCCCGTCAATAAACACAACAGACAGCATCTGTGTGCTACAGACTCAGCCAATGTTGTTCAGCTGCCGAGCAGCCTTGCCTGGTGTTGTTCGTATTTGCCCATGCCGCTCATATCGCAAAGAACAAGCTGCACTATGCGAAACGTGCTGAAGAAACAATCTACATCATTGGATATTAAAACTGCCGAGCTCGTTGATAAGCATCGATATAAACTGCGATGCTATAACGAAAGAAGACTGTCCGCGACATCACGATAGTGTTACGCCAAGTCACGATCCTTACAATACTGAACACAGGTTATTCACTCTCCACTGAAGCCTTGGAGCCTTGATGGCAAAAATAGCAAAACGATCGAAAGAGCAAATTTCACAGCTTTTGCCGAGCGTGCTGCGATTACAATGGTATCGCTCATGGAATTCTCTTGCTACAAGTTGCAAGATATATTCAGTTAGTTCGCAGACAAAATATGGAAACTTTACTTGGAATCTTATTCATACCAGCGTGATCAGAAGAGACCCTTTCCTTCGACCTTAATTTGCATATCAAAAATTCACCAGTTTAGTAGAAAGAATTCTTGAAATGCAGCCGTAAACCGGGCTAAAAAAGTATACCAGTGAATATTTTATGCACCCGCGGGTATCTCTCTAGTTTTCATCCACCAATATCTTGGAAATAACCCAAATCCAGGCGTTTCCTCAATCGCGCAGGTGTCAAAGCTTATTTGCATAATTCTGAAAATTGACCAAAATATCTCTTTGCACGTTCAAAATTTGTTTGTTTAGCCTCTACGAAAATATTTTAGGTTTTTATAACAATTAGATGGAAAATAAATTTCAAGTTGTCCTAAAACGTTACATAAACGTGATCAGTCGTAACGCTTGCAGGACAAAAGCAATAAAAAAATTCCTCCTTGATAATTTTCCTTGAATCAGGTCATGAACCACGCACAGAGTGGAGAAGATTGAAATTAAAGAATAAGATTAGTCATTCTGGTCATTGTAGACATTCTGTGTAGCTTAGAGGGACACCCAAACAGGTTAAAATACATGTTCATTATGTGTACAATGTTATTTACCAAACAACACGTTTACACTCTGCAAGAATTCTTGCAGTTTCGAC